CGTAGGTACATGAATGATTCGCCCGGACATATTTGAATTCTTCCCACACAGTAATAATGGCAGTGAAGTAGGAAGTGACATCCATGGTACCTTGATGGAGATCACGTAGTTTCTGCTTGATTCTGTACTTACGAGGAGCGTTGCTCTGCTGATAACGCTTCGTAAGAAAGAGCCACATATCACGAGCAGTCTCGACATAAAGGAGACTTTGAGAGATATGCTCAGCAATCGAATTCATTATCCAAGATCCGACGATGGCGTTGTTTCGGATCCAGAATCTGAGATTTGGATCAGGCTCATTTGGTTTGAGTAAAGACCCATCAACAAAACACATCTTGTTTCGACCTTCAAGAGCAAGTGTGATGGATCGAAACCAAGATGGAAAATCGGCAGCACCGCTCAATGGCTTTGTGACAATCTGCACGCCGCCATGATCAGTGGAGGAAAGATAGTAAGGACTATCAAACTCAGGAGGAACAGCAACAGGGCCGGCAAGGGGACCAACAGCAGGGTCGGCAGGAGGAGGAAATTCCGCCATGAAGACCAAATAAAATCGACTGAGATGAAAAACGGAGGAGAAGAAGCGGAATCAGAAAAGGATCTCTGATACCATTTTAGTGGAGGAAATCAATATCTTTTCCATTGATAAAGAATGAAGCTATACAAAGAGTTTTATACAGATGAGTTGATAACAACTGAACAACAATAAAATCTTTCTATACTTATCTCTGTCACTAGAAATAGGAAACTGAATAACAGAGCAACGAACTCCCGCGTCTTCCATTAAAATGTTTCGCCGGAATATATATGCCTACGTTTTGCTGCGATGGATTTGTATTGATATCTAGTTTCCTCCACTTGAATGCCCTAGTTGTTTTGTTAGGCGTTGGTGCAACCGCTGCATATATCTTCAAAGAGCATGGATTTATCTATCTGAATCAGAAAAGATACGAGTCTCTTTCCATATAACCCTTGATGATGGTTTTATTCTCTGTATGAGTCCTATGAGATGTAGGTCTTGAAGCTTCCATGCCAGGGTAGTATTATTGTTGAATCCCGGTGCTAAGTTCTGATCCCAAATTTTTGTTTTGTTTTTGAATTTCTCATTTTTGTCACCTTTATGTCTTTAGACAATAGAAATTGATTCCATATTGTAACCGAGTAAATACTTTAATAAATGAGGAAAAGGCTTGCTCTTTCCTGTGAATCTTGAATTTGTCTGGCATTTTGGATTTCCTATCTGTTTGTTTTTTTCAAGATATTAACAAGTTCCGACGCAACTACAGTGGTCAGAGTGTGTTTATTAGCAATTTACTAATAAGGAAAGAGGTTTATCAATTTATCTACAAAATTATACATGACAGAAACTTCTATTTATCAAATTGTCCCTTAGATTAGGGTTGGACGTTTTGATTTCGTTTCGTACCGAACCGAAAAATGCGGTATTTTTTTTCGATCCGAACCGTCTCAAATTCCTGAACGGTATTAATTTTAGAAAAACGGAATTTTGCGAAATCGAATCGAACCGAAATTTAAAAAAACCCGAAGAACAGATTTTTAAAAAAAAAAAAGATATAATTTTTTAAATAAAAACCGGAAACAAACTGAAACAAAACCAAATATAATATAAAACCGATTGGTGTCTATTTTATAAAACTGAAAGAAGCGATTCGAACCATTCCTGATCCGAACCCGAACCGAATACCAAAACGTCCACCCCTACCTTAGACAGAGTTTTCAATGTGAAAACTGATCTCACAAATTGTTATAAGATTTACCACTTTTGCCAGAGCAATAGAGAACTGTACTCTTTATAATCCTAGTGCAGTTGGCTAGGGCCTGATTACCATTTTCAATGTTACAGAACAGGTTGAATATAACAAAAACAATTGGTAAATTTCCAATTGATCCACACTTAAGGGCCATTCAGGACCTGTGTTGCATCTTATGAACCATGGCGAGGGAATTAATGAAGGGACTGTTGATGGTTCTATAATGGTAACAGGTGCCTACCTTTGGCATTGTAGTTTAGGTCATATAAACGAGAAACGCATACATACAGAAGCTCCACAATGAAGGATTTCTAGACTCGTTTGATTTTGAATCAATTGAGTCGTGCGAATCTTGTTTAGTGGGCAAAATGACAAAGACTCCTTTTACCGACGTGTGATGGTTGCAAAGAAAATGAACCTTCTTTAGTGTCAGTTTATCGATTAATATGACTGAACTTTTATGTGCAGCTACTAGATTTTGGTTATCAATTTTTATGCTCTTTTTGTCTTGTTTATATCTTATAGATGCTTAGGGAAAGTGAACTGAACGTTTAAAAAGCTCTCTGTCATATTTTTTTTGACGAGTTTAATTAGGATATCTGAGACTCATCAGACCCACAATGCTGTAGAGGAGCATTACTTTACTTACATTTTCGCGTATTGCTTTTTGTGTTACCGGGAGATGGGTGTTCGTCTTCGAGTTTGTCATTTATGAGCTGTTTGCAACTTTCAGAAACCATCTTGGGAGAAAGCAGCAAATGTAACAGGACAGAGGTGTGCCTTATTCTCCTCCCTTTTTCATTGGACAATTGAAGTTTAAGCCAAGCTAGCTGCAATTCTTTTCTATTTGGAGCATCTTCATGTTCATACTTTGCTGCAGATATGGTCCTGAAACTGACGGGCGTGTTCTTCTAGGGAAAGTCGATTGCACGGAGGAACCTGCTCCGTGTAGGAGGTACTTTCAAGCTAATCCTTCCTGCTCTTTTAGTTCCCTTTTGGGGGCATATGAAACTTGCTAAAACTTTTAACTTCTAGATCTCTGGACTGGATTGACTTGCTAAAACCAATTTGTAATTGCATCACGAAATAATAGCTAAGGTTCACATGTGATGTGTGTACGTTTTTATATTGAAATGCGTGTTTTCACTATGAACAAGCAATTTCTATATTTCCGTACAATGGTTCCTCGGAAATCTCTCATTTACTAAAGCTTGTTTCTTTCAGATGGTGGAAGGACTGGTTGCACCAATCCAAGTGGAGTCTCAGAAGCTAGCCTTGGAGGATGAATCTGATAATGTGTCGGCAAATCTTAAAAAGGCGTTCATTAACAAACGTGAGTTAGGTGCCAACACTACTGTAAGTCTCGGGGAACCCAAAGTGTATGCTCGCGTTTTCAATGCGGTTTTTAGATTCCCAAACTTGGATCGGTCTAGTGTCTAAATCTCTTGTAAATGTTGAATACAGATCGAACACTATCTCCAAGTAGTGAAAACCGAGGTTATCACAAGAAGATCCGATCATGAACAGACAATGATTGAGGAATACGAGTACACCGCTCACAGCAGCGTGGCTCAGACTTTCTATTTACCTGTCGCGAAATTTCACCATGACAAAATATTAGTACCCATCTCAAATGTCTATCTCAACTAGGGGCTTGGCAGAGAACCCCGGAATTTGGGTATCCGAGTCGATCGGGTACTCGGTTAATATATAAGATGAGATCGGATTTGGTTATGAGGAAAACCCAAAAATTGGGACCGTGTTCACTGTTCAGGCTCAGGCCCTCGGTAATTGGATTCGAGATGGGTTATCATATCTGGATACTGGATAAGAGTAAAATTACCTTTTTTCCCAAACGGTTTTGTATTGAAATCTTTCGTAATTTTGGGATTGGCTTTGGGTAAACCGAAAATTTTGGACTCCTGACCCCTAGCATATGATACTACTTTGGAAAAAAAATCAAAATTTTGTATTTGGACCTCTGTTCAGGTATCTTGGGTACGTGACTTTCAAGTGTCGAATCAAAATGGTATTCGAAAATCTGCGGTATCCGGCCCACGCCCCCCCACCGGTGATTGTTTTTTTTCTTCTGTAGGTGCTTATAACAGAGAACCCGAAGTCTTTTGCACACTTCATCACGAATGTTTGTGCTATAATGGGCGACATTTTCACGGCCAGTATCATTATCGGTGTCTTGTTCGATGATTCTCCTGTGGAATTCCATTGCGATTTGGCTTTGTGGATTTCAGGTTGCGGGGATACTAGATTTGTTTTTTTACAGTAGGATCAGACTGGTGAAGAAGGTGGAGCTCGGGAAAAACATTTGATTGAGAAAGGTCAGTTCTTCTTCAAGTTAAGACTACAGAAACCCATAGTTTTATTCAGATCCTTCGTCCGACAAATATATGTGTCCATGTACGGTGACATTTATTCGTTTTTTCACGAGAAAACAATAGATACAACAATAAGGTCACACAACAAATTAATTTGTAAACAAACCACCAAACTTAGAAAAGTAAAATCGCAAAGCTAACAAAACACCTCCAAATGGAGGATAGCAACACTCGGTAAGAACTCGTAAACTATAAGACCCTGCATTTTTAGGACGAGACTCAGGAGATGGCGAAGTTGCGGGAGCGGGAGAGGGTGAAAAGTCGAAAGAGGGGACAAGTCCTTAGTTCTATCATGCATTACAATGGTGACGGGTTTCTCATTCTTTCGGCAGTTTTCTGATGTTTTTCCTTCAATAAATTTGGCTACCAGTGTGTTCGTGTAGCAGTGGTTGTAGTCATCCTTAATTAACCGAGTTTTGGTTTGGTGAATAGACAAACACTTGCAAATGTTGTATTTGCATTCTTCTTTATCCGTAAAATATCTTTCCTTGTTAATTCTTTAAGATAATCGAGAACGCAATCGACGGGAAGATAATTTAATCGAAGTGTTAAGCTTTTAATTAGTCTCTGAATTTTTCTTAACAATATTTTTAGATTTCAAAATTTTCACATGTTTGATTTTGGATTAAACCTCTAAAATTCTTATTAGAAGGGTATTTTCGTATTTCGACAAAACCTATTTATTCTAAGCATTTGAAGATTACCAAATATTATAAGTAGAGAACAAAACATACATGCTTGGAATAACCTTTTGTTTATCCATTCGAAATCTTAGGCATCCTTATGTTTAACTCTTATGTTCAACACAACATTGTGGATATGTACTATACAAGTCTTGGAACATAAATCTGGCTTATCTTCATCAGTACAATAAATTGTTTATCATTAATACAAGACTCACGGCTGCTGCAAGAACAAGGCTTGTCGAGATGTTGATTCCATGCTTGTTTCCTACATTTTTCTTCGGGAAATACTTTGGGAGCGCACATTCTTCTCCGTTGAAGAATACTCTCGTAGGAAATCCATCACCACCGGGGATATTAAGGTTGTCATTGCCTTTTTTGGTGAAGGAAATAACCGATTGTTGTTTCCCCGGAACTCGTGGATCTTTGTTTGGATCTGTTCCGTTCACCTCGCCCACCAAGTAGTTCAATCCAGGCAATCCTTGGAATAGAATGGTTCGATTATTAGGCGGAAGGCGAGTGCCATTGAAGGAATATACGTTTTCATAACCTAAACCGGACTTTCCCATCTCAATAGCTGCAAACCAATCCTCGAATACAACTTCTTTCCAATTAAAGATTGTTATTCTCGCTGTCCAACCGCTTCTGTAATCGGTATTCACATGCCAATTTATGCTGACGCCGCAATTATCAGGGCAAGGAAGCTTCTTAGGAATAGGCATATGCTTTTGTTTAGCCCAAGCCTTGGCTTTTATGGTGCGGTTGTCAAAAGGTACGAGAAGGGTATCGGGAGGAAGCAACATAGGGTTTGCATTCGCATTGCAGGTGTCAGTATCGATGTCATCGCATCCACAAGCACAAGTGTTACAAGGGATGGCAGATTCATTGTAGAAAGCCGAGAACGAGACACAACATCTCGATGCTTGATGCTTAGGTTTGGTTATGTTGCAGACCACTTGCCAACTTGCCATGGCGAAAGTCGTGGCTTGGAGGCCGCTCGGATCAGGGAACGGTGTCGGGTCCACTCGAACAGGTGGTCCACATTTGTATTGTGGGTTTAAAACACCGTCAATTTTCCAGTGTTGCGGGGGATATAACGCTGTTCTATTCAGATCAGGAGGAATCTTGAAAACCTAAAGTTGCATAAAGAACAAAAAAATTGTCAAAAACCTTGATTTTAATAACAATTCTTGTATCGTTAAATCCAAATGATTTTCCACCATGATTATAAGAGTATTAAGGTAATTAATCATTATGTTAATAATTTAACCTAGATTTGCCTTGTATTTTCTCTATATATTACCTTTTACATTCCAATGAATGATAATACATAACATTTCATCGTATAAAAGCAAACGCATCGAGATTACCTGCAACTGGAAGATAGATTGAGCTTTTGAAGGATCCATAGTAGGAGGCAAGAGGGTGCCATTCTTACAACAAAAAGGTAACTTCCCGATCACATTATCGTCTTTTCTCTCAGGTGGCAAATCAGAAATGCTAGGTTTTTTCTGACAATTTGCGACCTGAGAGAAATCCATATCCCCATAGTATTGTCCCGCTTTGCTGTATATGCATTCAGACGCATCCTTCTTATGTGTAAAAGCACCTCTCATCGAGTAAATGAATTCCCCTCGCATCCATTCCCATGTTAAATTCCAATGATCCAATCTCCCTAAAGGGTTATTGTTGTCGATCGTCACTTGGGCTAAGTAGTTGTTGCCATATGCCTGGAGAACATCATAAACCATATTTAAATCTCCGTACTTTCTTGATGCGAATTTCGTCTTTGGCACTGTCTTGGCCTTGAACTTGGGGTTCTTCTTGCAACAAACATGCATATTGCCTCCTACGCAAGAAACAATGTGTAAGAAAAGATTAGAAAATGAAATATACCCAATATTGATGGATAAACCTTTGGATGGAAGTATAAACGATGAAAGATCACATACCCTTTAAAAGGTGTATATTAAAATATCGCAAAATGTAAAAAAGATCAATGAATCTAACCTCGCCTCTTCGCAGGAGGGCATTGCCAACCATCGTTTATGAGCTTAATGTTACTAGGCATCGGTGTTACGCCCAATTTTACCCCAAAAAGAGTCCCTACGATCTCGATATTCGCGGATATCTGGTTGTAATCACCAGCTGTTTCAATGGACGTCTTCAAATCTGTGTTGGTCGATCCAATGAACGTTGTTCCATTGCTCGCATCCAAGGGAAAATCGCCGTCCATAGGCGAGGCACCCGTTGCTGAAACGATGAGCTCCTTGTGGCGGAATCCGATGAACATCTGCCAGCCTTTGAGCTCCTCCGTTCCCACATTAACGATCATGGCATTCGCCCTAAATGCCCAGGATTGTGCTGTAGCGTTCTTGACATGAGGGTATTCTTTTTCGCGGCCACTGAAGCTATAACTCATGAAAATTCCGTTGCATTTGGCCATCTCGGGAGGCGATTCCGAACTCCCTTCTTCGCTCGGTGTCCCGTAGTCTTGGCCATTGCAAACATTGATGCGTAGAAGAATCGGTAAAACGATCAACAAAGTGAATGAATAGGTAAAATACCGGTCCCAAGGTATCTTCATTCCGATTTTAAATCTGGTCGATTTCATTACGTTCTCTCACCACCCTGAATGTCTCGACCAACGAAGCAGCGAGAAATACCTTTTACACAAACCCTAGAACATGATCTAAGGTGCGTGCAATTTGGGATTCCGGAAGAAGAATCCCTCTCATAGATGCGAAGGAAACAATTGATGGAGACGAAGACCAAGTCTTGCCTCTTTTTCTCGGCCTTTGGCTTTTCTTGGACACCGGAGAAATGTTGGAATACATAGTAATGCTATTTTTGGTAAGGAGAGATATAGTTACCAATAACACGTCGATTTTTGTTCAAACATTTTTTTTTCAGTTGGAATTCCAAATCAGAATCTAGTGTGTTTTATTTTGTCTTAAAGATGATCTTTGAAGGACAAAAAAATGACATGAAACATGTCTGAAATGTTTCGCCGTTTTGTTTGCAATTTTGTCAGAAACACCCGTGAATATGTTTTTTTGGGTAACCGAGTGTTGTAGATCGAGGTCCAGACTAATTCGGGAGTCGGGAGCAAGCCATTTGATTAGAATATAGACTCCCCTCTCAAATTGGAGTTCGAATTCGGGACGGAAGAGACGTTTTGCATTCTCATTTCACCGGTTGAGCTATCCAAGTTGGGTTAACACGAACGGATATTGTTAACCGGTATAGTTAGTTTTTAACTAGCATTTATAACCTCTAATTATTACAGAAATATATCAAAATTCTTATAAAGTAGATTTACATTTTCTTGTTAAGACCTGCAAAATGATTTTTCAGATCATGCCACTGACGAAAGAGTAAAATGTTTTCTTCAAAATATTTCCTTGGAAATTGGGACATATCAAAGGTTTCTTGGAAAACTTTTTTTTTTCAGAACCACAACTATACGACGAATTCAGAAGCATAGATAAATACCGAATCTTAGCACTTACCTTGCAAAACCAAATCAAACCGAACCTAACCGGATTTTGGCTTATTTCAGCATCAACTTCTACCGAACCGAATTGAGTAACCCATCGAAATTTATTTATTCAAATCAGAGGAGATCATTTTGTTTCATTTATGAAACAAAAACACGAACTCAAACCTGATTATTCATTTCGGTCATATTAGTCTCCAAACCGAAGTAAACCGGAGCCCTCAAAATATCAATTCAAAAACAGGATAAATGAAAACAAAACCCTAAATATTATTATAACTCCATGCGATCTTAAACATACATATTATCAATGTTTAAATTAATGATGGTTTGGGTGACCAAAAAATGTAACATAGTGTAAGCCTATTTATAATTTTATATGAGAGACTAAATATATAGTATGTTACTTTGCCAAAAAACGATCTTCCTGGATCTTGCAGGTTGTCCAAATCGTCCATCCAGGGAATGATCTGGGATATTTCTGTGGGAGGTTTTGGTTGTATGCGGCCGGCCAAGGGTTTCCAAATCTCAGCACTAAAGGAGCAACTGAAGAAGAGATGATCATGCCGCTCTTTAATTCCATCCGTTCTCTCAATCTACTCGGTCATATTCAATGATTCTTGGACCTAATTAGAGCTATCACAATTTCCCATCAGATGGTGTCACCCGATCCCTCATTGGTAATCCGCGATGAAAACACATCCACTGGACAAAATGCATATCTTGGTATCGTTTCCTTAAACCAGACCGCGAAGTGCTAGCTAGCGGACTGCTATTGCTGGGGAGCGAATGAGCTTCCAAGTTCTAGCGGCTGAGAACGAGGTCTGATATTCTATATCTGCCATGTTTTCCGGTCATATATGTCTTCTCTCCTGCTATCATTCGACACCGCAATGCTAGGGAGCATTATCTGTAGATCCTATATACGTGGAGACCGAGCACCTGTGTTAGTATTTTGGTTCAAAAGTTTGTGGTACTTGTTGGATTTTTAGAAAATTAATTGCTGATGTGGAAATAGTAGTGGTTGCTGTTGTTAATGGGTAGTTTAGTTTTTAGGAGTTTACGTCAGTTTTTTAACTTTTAAGTTTGTAACTGTTTTATTTTGTATTTAATGACTTTATGTTGTAATGAACATATGTATGCAAGGTTTTATTTACGAGAGAAACTTTGTGTCATCGTTTTGGTTGTTGTTCAAAGTACATCTCAAGTGATTTGATTTCTAAAACTTGAGTTTGTAAAAGGAGCAACAGATTTAAGTGTGTGTAAAATAACAGTGGTATCAGAGCGGTTTTGATCTTTGGGGATCTGTGAGTGTTTTTTTTTAAAAAGTGAAAACGAAATGGATCAAAATGTTGGTGTCGGTGTAACTCTCCCCGTTCCGGTGTTTGATGGTGAGAATTACCAAGTCTGGGTTGTGAAGATGAAAGCGTTTTTGAAGGGTTCAGATATGTGGGAAGCCGTAGAAGAGGACTATGAAGTTACTCCGTTGGGTGCTAATCCTACAGCGAATCAAATAAAGTTGTACAAGGAGAGAATGGCGAGTAAAGCAAAGGCCATGTCTTGCATCTTCTCGGCAGTGTCACCGTCGATCTTCACGAAGATCATGGGGTTGGAGTCTGCCAAAGAGATGTGGGATTTCTTGAAGAAGGAGTATGAAGGGGACGAAAAAATCAACGGAATGAAAGTCATGAATTTGTTGCGAGAGTTCGAGCGACAACAAATGAAGGGAAGCGAGTCAATAAAAGATTATGTCGATCGTCTTGTCGATATAATCAATAAGGTAAGAATTCTTGGCACTAAAGTTGAAGATGTTAAGATTGTGCAAAAAATTTTGGTTTCTATACCGGAAAAGTTTGAAGCAACGGTGGCATCTTTGGAAAACACTAAAGATATGTCAAAAATCAAGCTCTCAGAAGTTCTTAATGCCCTTCAAGCACAAGAACAAAGGAGGCTTATGCGAAAGGAAGATTCAGTGGAAGGTGCTTTAGTAGCAAAAGAAAGAATAAATTCTGCAGGAAATGAAAAATTTAGTGAGCAATTCATTGAATCGTGCAAACATTGTGGTAAGAAAGGTCATCCATATTGGAGATGTTGGAAAAGACCCGATGTTAAATGCAGAAAATGCGGTAAAATGGGACATGTTGAGAAGATTTGCAAAGAAAAGAACACAGAGAATGTTGAAGTTGAAGCAAATATGGTTGAAGAAAAGGAAGAGGAACAACTCTTTTGATTGATCTATTGATTGGTGTTTCTGAAGGATTTTGAGCCAAGGAGGAGTTTGTTAGTATTTGTGGCTCAAATTATGTTTAGAAGACTTTGCAGTACTTGTTGGATTTTCAGAAAATTAATTGCTGATGTGGAAATAGTAGTGGTTGCTTTTGTTAATGGGTAGTTTAGTTTTTAGGAGTTTACGTCAGTTTTTTAACTTTTAAGTTTGTAACTGTTTTATTTTGTATTTAATGACTTTATGTTGTAATGAACATATGTATGCAAGGTTTTGTTTACGAGAGAAACTTTGTGACATCATTTTGGTTGTTGTAGTACATCTCAAGTGATTTGATTTCTAAAACTTGAGTTTGTAAAAGGAGCAACAGATTTAAGTGTGTGTAAAATAACAACCTGGCATGGACCAATTTGAACCAATTGTTGCATCAGCAACCTTCGCAAGCAGCGGTATACGGAGCAGCCTTGGCCCATTTTCCCCCGAAAAGCGGAGTCCAAAGATCGTACCATAAAGATGCAGTTCTCCCATTTTCCAGCTTGCATCTGATGAATTGGTCTGCTTGTTCCTTGAGTTTTATCAACCTGCGTAAGTTCTACGAGATGGAACTAGCCTTCACAGCCCAACATGTTAACAATTTGATAAGGTAATTGATAAGAAACATGACTAGTTTACCTCATTAAGCTGACGACTAATCTCTAATTAATTAAAAAATAATAGCAAAACACAATTTGATATGACGTGAGCACTCTCGTCATCCGCTTTCCATTTACTTTTTTTATAAATATAATTTAAATTAATAAAATATACTGGGTATATTGGATGGAGTTAAAATATATTTTATTAATTTATCTATTTAGAATTTAGTTTGAGATATATTTATATTTATTTGAATTTTCAGATAATTTAATTTTAAATTTTTTTAAAACGTTTAAAAATTTATTGTTTTCTCAATAAAATATTCAAATCAAAACTAGGGATGGACACTTCGATTCAGGAATTTAGTCCCGAATCGTATCAAATCGATTAATTAGATTTCGTTCAGTTCGATATTATATAAAAAATTGAAATGTACAAGACTTTGGATACCGAACGGTTCGTTTCGCTTCGGTAATCTAACGGTATTTTTATTTTTTAATTAAAAATATTAAATATTAATAATTAATAATAATATTTAGTTTGGTTAATATTATCTATTATATAATGATGTTTATTTTGTTATTAATAAATACTTAGTAACTATATTTATTTTGTTATCTAAAATTATTAAATTAAATTTCTTTATTTTTATGTTTATATGAGATATAATTATGTTATAAACCGTTTCAAATAGTTCTAAACCGTCCCAAATTGTCCCAAACTGTACGAATCATTCTGAAGTATCTTTATTTGATACTTATTTATTAGAATTGTACCGTTCCGAATGGATACCGATATCGAATCGAATAATATATGATAATAATTTGGTATAAATTTTAAAATACCGAATAAATAGTTTTCGAATCAAATTGCTGAAATTCGTAACCAAATTCTGAAAGTTCCACCTCAAAACCATCAAAATTTTACCATACCCTAATTAGAACTTATCTGACGGTAGAAAGAAATTGAGAATGGGAATAATTTTTTCGCATTATCGTGAATAATGTAAACAGAAATGCTTGTTCTCGAAACGCAGAAATCTCTGCCGTTTTAAAAGACCTAAACATTTTCTTCAGCATTTACCGTTCCCTCCTCGCCTGAGTCACCAACTTCGCCTCCGACTCTCTCCCTCTCTCTCTCTCTCTCTCTCTCTCTCTCTCCCTCTCTCTCTCTCTCTCTCTCTCGTTCTCTCTCTCTCTCTCTCTCTCTCTCTCTCTCTCTCGTTCGCTTGATCGATCGTCACCGAAATCCGGTCTCGGCGTCGAAATAGCTTTCGAGTTGACTCTCCGGCGCTGCTAAATTCCTTCAATCGTTCAATCCCGTCTCCGATTAAGTAGTCGATTGATTAGGAATGGCGTTCTTGTTCTTCTAAGTCTTCATTGCACCAAAAGCCTCTAAATCAACGACACAGCGATTTACCTCTACCTCTCACAGTTCTTCGTCAAGTTTTATGGCGATTAGAGTTACGTTCACCTACTCCGGCTACGTTGCTCGGAATCTCGCGTCCTCCGCCGGGATTCGACTCGGCACCTGCGACTTCCGCTCATGCTTCGAGTGCTTTGTCCGACCCAGAATCTCTGGACACAACCAGAAGACGGATCTGGACAAGTCTCCCGGTTCTAACCCGTGCATCGCTGGTTCCGGGTCCCAGTTCCGATCAGCTTCTATGTACAGCTCCCTCGCAAGGGAGATTCTTGGAGAAGATTGCCAGAGCCCGCTTGTTGTGGGTCTGATATGGATAATGAAGTCCACAGCAGGTGTTCCCCAGTTTTCAACGATGAGCATCTTGGGAATTTCGCCCTTCAATGCTTCTTCTATCATCCCGTTCTTTCAAGGGTCGAAGTGGCTTTCGCATAACAATGCGGAGACGTTGTCACCGGAAATTGAAGACGTGGACGGGGGAGGAACGGCGGCGTGTGACCCAGGCAAAGGGGTCTGTCTGAATTTGGAGCTGAATGATAAGGATTTCGGTGGGAAGAGTGGATGGATCGACAAACTCTTGAATGTCTGCTCGGAAGATGCGAAGGCAGCTTTCACGGCGATGACTGTGACTCTGCTTTTCCGGTCGGCTCTCGCGGAGCCGAAGTCGATTCCATCCACGTCTATGTACCCTACCTTGGATGTGGGTGATCGAGTTCTCGCGGAGAAGGTAAGAATCCGGATTGTTTCTGATTTAAGAAATATTAAGCGTGGGAGCTAATTTTCTATCAATAAAGATTCAATGATTCTGTAAAGATCACTGTGCTTCGATGTTGTTAATGTTAAGCATACTGTAGATGTGAATATAGATTGTTTTTTGGTTTCTGACGACATATTGTCTTGATGTTTGTTTTCTCCAGGACTGAATAATGTTGGGTTAAATCGATTTCTAGATTCTGGGGAGAGGGTTAAAGTTGGTTGCTATCCTCATGGTTATTGTCTTACATGGAATGTGTCTATTGCTTTTAACTGGGATTTAGTTGTTTGTCTGTTTCATGTTGAACAAGACACTTCAGTTGGTTTGCTAGTTACGGCTTTTCACTGATGATGTTCAGTGGTTGTTTCTGTTTGTGTCGGATCGGGTGTCTGTCAGGTTTCATACTTTTTCAGGAAGCCAAAGGTTTCGGATATAGTGATCTTCAAGGCCCCTCCCATCTTGCAGGTAAGTCTCAGATCCGTCCTTCTTGGTACTTAAATGTTTTCTCCTTGTAAACAAAAGGGTATACATTCTACTATTATTGGATCTACAGGAATGGGGTTACAGTTCTGATGATGTGTTCATAAAGAGGATAGTTGCAAAAGAAGGTGACTGGATTGAAGTAAGTCTTGAATATCATATATGTTTAGTTGTCAGCCACCTCGAAATGGACTTCTTCGGTTCGATTTTCTTTATTAGTTTCTAACCCGTTCTTGTAGGTTTGTGATGGGAAGCTCTTTGTGAACGGCACTGTTCGAGAAGAAGATTTTGCTTCAGAACCACTTGAATATGAAATGGAGCCAGTGGTGAGAGAAACTCTGAGTCTGACTTCCTCTTCTTGTTTTGCCAATCAATACCTGAGGTTGTGTTTAAGCATTGTTCTTGACAGCGGTTTTCTCTGCTTGCTTGCTTGTAGCTTGTCCCCGAAGGTTGTGTCTTTGTTCTAGGAGACAACCGCAACAAGAGCTTCGATTCTCATAACTGGTATTTGTCTGAATCCCGATACCTTTGGTAGAATCATACAGTCATATATACCTATTGCTAAGTTGGTCGGGTCTCAGACATTTCAGCATGGTGCCGTGAATATTCACTCACCTGATTCTTGGTTTCTTCGTGGGAAATTTTGGTAAGAGGAAAGGGCAATAGGATGGGCTTTAGAAACAAAAATAGTCTCTTTATCAAAATATTCCAAGAAGAATCCTTTCAGATCAATCGAATCGAATCCTTTCAGAAACAAAAATAGTCTCTTTATCGGATTGGAGAAATAGACAGGCGATAGAAGTAGCGTCGATATTCGTTTTCTAACACGTCTGGAACATACTTGCAGGGGTCCGCTACCAATAAAGAACATCGTCGGGAGATCAGTGTTTAGGTATTGGCCTCCGAGCCGAGTGTCCGACACCGTACACTCGCGCCCACTTGTTACAGAGAGAGATCTTATGATCAATTGATCAGTCGGTCGGTCGATCTCTGAAGTGAAACTGTGTTTTTAGGATAGAACAGAACGTGAAGAGAGGACGCTGTTCCAACCATTTTTGTCTCAGGAACAGAGCAGCTTCAATTGGTGGTTTTTACTCCAAATTTTTTAGTGCGTCTTCCTGGTTATGTGTCCGGTTTGTTTGTACCGGATATTTGGTTTTCTCTGTACCGTCTGCATCATTAGATATGGAAAGTCAAAAGGGGAAATGCCAAAGAAGGCGGGGAAAATGCTACCAATATTCTTCTTGCGGAAGATTTCTTTTGTGTTTTTTCCCCTTCAGTATGATTGGAAAATTGTGTATTAATTATAGAACATTAAGTTATCCTTTATGTAAGTGATGAATTAGACATTAACCAAATGACCAAAAAAAAAAAGGTTTGAGAATTAAAGAATTAGACATCACAGAGTTTATGCTGATTAATTACAAAGAAAAGGGTGGAAATGTGAACCGTTGAATCGTTCAGTCATCTGATGTAAGCCATGGACCATGGAAATGGAATTTCCACCGTTTGATCGTAAAGAGATCAAATGAACCGTTGGATCAAGTACCTCTACGTTATTATAACAAGTGGGTCAGATTTGTCACAACCCTTCTCTGATAAGGAGATCATGTGTTAATTTTAGATGAAAATTTTGATCAACCAAACAAATAAGAATTATGTAAATAGTATAATATATATATATATATATATGTATTGCAGAATATAATTTTTATATATAGAAGAATTGAACATCATATTGTTATTTTGCTTACAGAATTAGCATGATTGTATATACTCATGTCACGTGAACAATATAGGGATTTTCCAATTTTAAACCAAAAGTCTTAAATAGCAAAGAGGGGGGAATTAATTATGAGCAAATTGCCGTTTTATTTATTTTAATTTCATATAAATATAAAATACCGCAGAAGCATAGATGCTGAAAGCAGATATCTCTGAAAGCGTCTCGTAAAAATAAACAACACAAAAAGAGATTCACGATCCAAAGAAAAGAAACGAAAGAAAAAAATAAAGAAATAAAACCGGTTCGGTGGACAATTTCCTCCGGTTAGGACTTGGTTTGGTATACCATACACAACAGATTAAACCGGAGAGCTGCCGCTAACGATCACACTAATCGTAACAACTCCCAATATTAACCACTTGGGCTCCTCCCTCCATTTTTTCCCCTCTTCTTCTTCAACGTCTCATTTTCTTCTCCCCTCTTTTCTCGGGAAACAAACAGCGTGCAAGGAAAGAAAATGGGCTTTGATCCTTATAATCCGATTCGTCTGCACAATGAAACTGCCATTGAAGCGTATTTCCGCCGCGAATCCGAGTTTATGGCCCATCGTGGGTACTCCGATCTCCCAGAGAATAATCGAAGACGCCAAATCGCTCTTCACAGGACTCTTCAAGAAAGTTTCTAGTCTTTTTCCTTCTTCCCGCCAAAAACAAAGATTACGAATTCTTACGGTCATTTTGATTCTAAGTTCTGCAGTACTCTAGGAGCGAGGAATTCGATTCGTTCATGCCATATCTTGCAATGAACTACTTCGACCGCTACGTCTCGTCCAATGGCCTACCGGTTGGTAATACCATGAAGAATTCTTCGTTTTCAATCATTTCGTTTCGTGTTATACTTAACGTTACATATCATATTGTCGATTGAATTCAGAACATAGAAGATAATTGGATCGACGACACCGACCTTGTTGCTACTTCTTGCCTCTGGTTCGCGTGGAAAATGCGGAAAGAGTCGTTCAATTTCTCCGCCTTTCTGGTAAAGAAAACAAAACAACCTTTGCGTCTTCCTCTGATGTTTTCTTGAGAATTTTTCGATCATTGTTGGGACAGAGTGAAAAAGGGATAAGCCATAAGAAGGAGAAGATCGAAGAGGCGGAGGATCGGATTCTCGAAGGGCTTTCTGGGCAAATGGGATCTGTTACTGCTCTGTGCTTTGCTCCGTTCCTGATCGAGCTCTGTCAACCTCGCAAGGGTCTGCGAGCGCAGACTGTTTGCCAGATTGTCCTCGAGACTCAAGACGGTAAATCTTGATTGTGGTGTAAACTTTTTCACTTTTTACCTTTAGTTACAGGAGCTGCTGTAAAGCCCGATACTCGCACGTTTGCGGGTACCCGAATGCGAGTGCTCGGCAGAGAACAAGGCCGAATACGGGTGGAACGAGACGAGGAACCCCGACCACAGTTTCGGGTTTGAGTTTTGTGGTTGCGACGGGTTCAACGCGGGTATCCGAGTAAATACAAAATGACATTTATACCCCTGCATTTTAAGATATTTTGAGTAAAATGACTGTTATGCCCCGGAAACTCGAGTCGAGCGAAATTAAAGACCGAAATACTACGGTCATAAAGGTGATGCCGAGACCGTGTACCAGACCCGTTTCCACTCATAGTTAGTGATGGCTCTGTACTCTGTGCTATGTAGTTTGTTCATTAGGATGTTACTTGTGACACAAGTAACAATCATACATATTCTAAAGATAGAGCTCTTCAATGACCCCAGTAGCCGTTTTTTTATTGCAGACATCAGATTCACTGTCTTCAAGCCCTCTGTCATCTCCGCATCGGCGATTCTTACAGCTCTCTCGTATCTCTACCGCAAGCATTACATGTTCTACGAGAACATACTCATGACGCTCGATTTCATAGACAAGGTAAACAGAAAAAAACAAATGACAGTTTTTTCTGACATTCTCTGGATCGAAAACTGTAAGATTGTGTATATGTTATCTTGGTTTTGCAGGAAGAAGTGAGACAGTGCATGCCACTGATGAGAGAGATGTGCGCAAGGAAGAAGATATGGATGGAGACTGTTGAGACAGACCTAAGGGGACGACCGCTGGTGCGAGTACAGGCTGCGGCCCTTGAGCCAGCTGGCTCGTCTATCCTCGCGATGGAACCTGTCGAGAGGAGACGGGAGACGCAGCCGTGGCAAGAACCAGAGCTTGACGGTGAAGAGCCAGGTCCGGTTCCTGAGATACAGCAAGTGGACGAATCTCTGTCAATGGACTTCGAGCTGAAGTGGGTTATTGAGGACGATGATGTCGGATCACTCCTCAGTCCAGCACATTCATCGCCTTGCTTTATCCGTCACCTTTCTTGTAGCAATGCAGAACGGTGTCCCTGCACCGTCCTGTAACAGAATCTTTTTCAGGTTGATGATGACTCATGACATTTTCAGATGAAACCAAGAGATGTGAAATTGGCAGCTATAATTTGTCTAAATATACCACATAAATACCTTACTTTTCAAATTATTAAATAAATACTCAATTACATAAATTATAGTATTTTTATGAAATTTTTTCTTCATTGTATGATTGATATTTTTTTTAAAATTACATTGATCTTATATGATGGTTATTCAAGAAATAATAATAACCAAATTAATTTAAATAAAGAAAAAGAAATTTTAATATGTAAATATGACAAGAAGCAAAATTAATTAATTTATACAAAAATTAGAGACATTTTCTCAATTCAAGACAAAACCATGTCTCCATTTTCCTGACACAAAATGCAAACAAACCAACTCATAAAAACCCAACAGCCTTTGTTGACGCCTAACACAGAGAATCGGCAGAGGCCAAATGGATTTGCGTTTCGAATCCGCGTTTATTTATTAGCGTTTGCGTTTGCGATTATTTGGAAAAGCATCAACACACTCCTCTGTTACTCTCACCTTCGTGCATCCCATGCATTGTATCGTACAAGGGCAGGTTTAACGTCTCCGGCAAGTAAAACGCAAGCCAGCCCCCAACCAAACCGCAAAACGCAAAAACTCCAAACGGAATCCAACTCCCTAAAACCACAACGAACGGCGCCAAAATCGCACCCATCTGGGCCGCTTGAGTCGCACACCCGAGGGCAGCGTTTCGAACCACCGTCGGGAAAAGCTCGGAGATATATATGAACAGAAGATTGTACGTGCCAGCCATCCCGAAAATCCCGAGTATCCCACATGCCATTCTCACCACTTTCCACGGGCCAGTCAACCCGAGAAGGCACCCGATGAAGCAGAAGACAAAACTGAACCACTGCGTACCGATCATTAGGGGTTTCCTCCCAAAACGATCGAGTAAAACCGCTGTTATGGTGAACGCTGGCATTTCAGCGACTGCGTTTAGGAGTACATTGAGGTAGAGGTTGGTTTTGAGGTTCACAACATTGAGGCTGAGCCCATAGTAAACAACAGAGACCGTGAAACTGATGAAAACGGATAATACGAGACGTATACGCGTGAGGGGCGAGCGAATCACGTCTTTAAGAGAACCTTCAACCGCTTTTTTCGGGACCGAAAGTGGTAGATTCTCGTCTGAATACGGGTACCCTTTTTCGTTATCATCTTCTTCTTCTTCCTCGTTGTCCATAACGAGAACCACTCCCTCGGGAAGGCAACGTCCATTACTCTTAGCAATAGCCCGCATCAGTTTCATAGCTTCATCCACTCTTCCTCGCACAAGATACCACCTCGGGGACTCGGAGATGAAAGGGATAACGATAACCAGGAACAGCAAAGATGGGATAGATGTCGCTATGTAGAGATCTCGCCATGACTTGAAGATATAAGCGATACCCGAGAGAAGAGCAATGCCCGTGGAGAAGAAGTAGAAGGTAGACATTCCAGCGGCTCCACGTTTCGAGGGTCCAATGGGTTCGGTGGCTAACACAAACGCACAAAGGCCTACACCGCCGGTACTGAATCCAGTCAAGAGGCGGAGGAAAACGTAGGTCAAGTAGTTCGGGGAAAACGCAGTCGCGATTCCGAAGACTGTGTTGAGGAGGCATACTACTGTCAATGAGCCTTTTCTTCCGAGTTTCGAATCCGAGAGATGTCCGAATATGCCTGCGCCTGCATTTTCTCAAGAAAACCTCCATTGTTAGATCAAAGCTCTTACGCTTTTTAACAAAAACCCTTTTGTATCATTATTCTATGGGCCACTTGGAAAAAAAAAGGAGTGTTTTTTGTTTCAATATAAACATAGTTGGCTTCTAAAGGTGGGGACTTTGTTATATATACATATATATATACATATGGGCACGTGATTCTCTATCTTTGTGGATAATGATATGACTTCAAAGATGGAGTTGGACATTGACATGCTTACGATACAAATATGTGCAACAATGCAACAAAATATTTTTGGAATATGCTTTTTGAATATCCGAGCTTTTTTTAGCAGCCGGACTAAGAAAATTCTCAATCTATTTCTTATTCTAAACGGCTACTAGTGGAGCGCATATGAATACGATTTTTTTTTTACATCTCACTTTCTACTAGAACAAAATCTAAAGGTTCGGTAAACTTTTCAATTGTATAAAAAAAATATTGTAATACTCAGAGAATTCGGATGAGTTCTAATTACATCTAGAGATTAAAAAAAAACTAATATTTGTTAGATGAAATTAACCTCATTGAAATCACTGCAGTAACTCTCATATTTAATAAAAACTATAAATTTGTTTATAACGAAATTAGAATTTAGATACTCACAAATACCCAACTTCTAATTAATGGTACGATCGTATATGCGACCACATGTGGATACATAAAATGCCTAATAAAAAGTCCATAATCAATATCGAAGCAAAAAAAAAAAAGAAAGTTGCAGCTTTATTCACATGTTTACGACTTCCCGGATTCATCAGTCATATCACATCAGCAGACCGAATCATCACCACGAGATTCGTGTTCTACTAACTTTTTTTATTATTTTATTTTTATATTCCTACGTTGAATCTTCTCGTGATGTCATTCACATTTTGCTTTCAAAGCATACATACAAAATAATAATTTTAAAAGTGGATTTAGACTTTTGTACAAAAGTAAAATATAAGGAGTTGGGTTGCAAAACGTGGAAAAATCAGATGGGTCAGTTGCGAGTTTGACCACACAGCACGACAACGTGGAATTATCCAGTTACCGAAGTATATAATATACGATAAGTACTATAAAAAATGTACTTTGTAATTATATTATTTCGGAGTTATCTATAATGAAGTGATAATGTTTTTAAATGTGTACGTCTATTCACAATTTTTAAAAATGAAGAGATGGGAATTTAATGTGGATGTGGAGGTGTGATAAGTCTCTTTTATTTATTATAAATATAAATTAAATAAAGAAAAGGGTGTAGGTATAGACATCAATCAATGTGATATAAATACAGGATCGATTAATAAAAAAAAATTGAATGTGATGTTAGGCTTGGAGTAATTTTTTTTGTATTTTTGGAGTTTTAAAAAAGGGTCACGTGAGCGGGCACGTGGTGTTGGCTGCCAGAATCGGGACAACATGTGCCACAAGAGCTTCTCTAACTAATTAAAAGTTCTATCCAATTGATTTTGTCAGAGACCTAGAGCCACGGAAATAACAATAAAATATGCTTTTTGTTTAGTTTTATCCTACAAAAGAAAATACAATTATTTTTTTTACGAAAAATAAATGTTTTGCCCTAAGGTTTGATATTTTTCCAATTTTTTCACCTTCCAAAAAAAACATAAATTTTCGTAAAAATAATAATAATAATAATAATAATAATAATAATAATAGCATGCTAAGAATAAAAAAAACATAATTTTTTTCCTAAAAAAGCAACATTCAAACAGAGAATTTGAGTTGTCTTCTTTCTCAACATAAATAAAAATTTAAAAATTTTCCCGAAATTCGCTTAAACCTTTTTGATTTATCACCCTTTTAAATTAAACAAAATTAGAGAGAGAGAGACTAACCGATCATACAGCCAGCGAAGAAGATGGCTTGAACGAGACCGACCTTATACTTCTCGCCGCAAACCAATCCCCACTCCGACACCGTCGAGCTTCCACGTCCCCCGACCCATTCCCACGAACCCCGATCCAGTTCGCACACAGAAGATCCGACCCCACAACCCGAACCGGATCCGGACCCGACCCGGCACCTCCAATCGGGCTCTCTGTCGGCGAAGATCATGACCATTGTGTGGAACGCCTCCAACGCCCAGGCGAGACACGTCAGCACAAAGTGCTTCATCTGCCACCGACCAAACTCCCCGCAATGTCTCTGTAACATCGCGTCTATGCCAAGCCTCTCCTTCTCCGCCGCCGGAATCTTCGCCGTAGATTCCACCAACGGTTGCCGCAAATCCCCCGCCGCCGCCGAACCCGGATCCATGTTTTTTTGGATTTTTTTAAAATTCGGCGTGGATTCGGTCTCCGCGGAGACGGTGGACTACTGGTTTTTTTTTTTTTGCACAGACAGGAAGCTCTGTTTCTGTCGTATTTATAGATGGAGGAAGGGACAGCTCTTTTTTTTTTTTTACTGGTTTTGCGATATACATCTTTCTTCCTCTTGTAACATTGACTTCTTTGAAACTTAAATCGGAAACTAATTTTCTTACACGTCAGATTCAGATTGAGTCGATGCTTGACACGTGGAAAATATTTTATATTATTATCGGGAGATAATAATCTTAAATATTACGCAACTGGTGCATGAATAAACAAACAAATAAATTATACCTTATTTAAAGGTTTTATCTGGAAGAGGATTCCGAAGGTAGTAAATAGACTTGAAAAATAAAAAAAAAAAAGATAATAATGTGATTTATGGTACTTCGAGAAACGAGTTTAGATAATTTTTAGAGATTTAAATGCTTAGATTGTATCTAGGAATCGATGTGATAGAGAATATTCTTTTTTTTTTGGAAATAGAATATTCTTTTTATACTAAGGTGATTCAGATACTAGTTTTCACACACACGAATATAAAATATATTTCAGAAAACTCTATGAATTCGGTGTATATAATTGCGAATTAAGAATATTTTCAATACATCAATTATTTAAATCATAATAAATATATTTCTTTTTTAAATTTGAAAGTATTAAAAAATTTTATTACGACGAAATATATAGTATTCTTATAAAAAAATGTAGGATATAGATATGCCAATCATTTATTACTATTTTGATATATTTTGTAGCATTTAAATTTTTTTGAGAAGTTTGTCGGTGCATTTATATTAAATAACTGTAAATATGCATTAATTTCTTTTTTAACTTTTTTTCATATATTTTTATATAGAAGAGTTTCTTATATTTTTACTATATAGAATTTTTTTTGACGCAATTAGATCGGATCCAAAAGTTGGATACCATACTTTCATGTCTCTTTTCATTGAATTGCTCGTTTTCTTACAAAACTCTTACGGCAACATTCAATTTTGCCAAACAATGCCATTCAATACCCATTGATACGTCAATGATCAAATATCCAAAATTTCGTTTAATATAGCACGAGATAAATTAATCTAAAACTTCTTTCCCATATTGTATTTTGGGCTATAATGAAATCGAACATAAATTCTTTATAATATATATTTTTTGAATTTAATTTAAAAAAGGCGACCCAAACATCAATTAAACCCAAACCCACCATATGAACTAAAATAAATGATTTAAAAAAATAATTTAATCATCGAAACATTCGTAGATCAATTTGATTAATAACCGAATAAAATAACTAATTTAAACTGAATAAATATAAATATAACCGAATTAAATTCAATATTGAATAAGAAATAGCTATAATTTCTTTAAAACTGACAAATTGAATAAAAATAAATGAAAAACTAACTTTTTAAAAATTATTTTTATCAAAAAAAAATTTCAATCAGCCTCGAACTGAAATAAAACCGAATCAAATTTTATATAAATCTGAATTGTTATATTTTTTTTAGTCCAACCTATATATACTCACATCGAAAGATGACTTGCATATAATCAAATTGAACACCAAATGGCCATCCTAATTATTATTCTTTAGAAAATGAATTATTTCTTTATTAATCAAATGAAAATCATAGATATCAAAACGAGACTAACTCCCGAGTTGATTCGTAACTCGCCAAAATATGAACGAATTGAGTCATGATTTTTTTGCTCATTTAAAAATGAGTTTGACAAGTCAGTTCGTCGAGTTCGTGTCCGTAACGAACTAGTTCGACGAATTGGTGAACTGTTCAACATATTATTTTTATTTATTGATTTATATATCATATATTATAATATAAATTAGTACCATGATGATAATTGAAAATATTAAATAAAAATCAGAGTATAAATATGGAAAAGAGATCATTTTCATACTTGTTATTGCAAAGAATAATATATCTTTACAAACATCGCCTAAAAAATGGGTTCTAAAAAAATAACTAAAGTTTCAAACTAAATGATAAAATAAAATTCGAATCATAATCAATTAACACAAAATTCAAATATTCAATTCTTAGATGTCGATACTATACTATAATATGATTCATGGGTATGCATATTCATCAGGAGGAAGAAAAGGAGGAGGAACAATCTATGGTTTAAAGTTTCGATCATAATAAATGTTATTGAGATATATTTTGTTGTTGTTGTTGTAATGTTTTTAACTTGTTTTCTATTAAACCATAATTAGATTATTTTTTTCTATCTTTTTAAATTACGACCGTTGACCAACACTTTTTTTACATAGTTTATGATATTGAAGTTTTATATGTTTTTTAAACTAAAAATAAATAGGAATAAAAAATATTTTGTCTCTGGTTCAACGAGTTGATTCATTTAATTCAGAAATTGACACAACTCATTCAAGAGTATTCAACTCGAAAAATTGACGAATGATGTGAGTGAAAGTTTTTTTGGCTCGTTAGAAAACGAGTCTGACGAATTAAATCCAAAACGATTTGAATATAGTAAGACGAGCCAAAAACGATCTGAGTTGGCTCGTTTGATAACCCTACGAAAATCCAAACAAATACGCGTTCTAAACCAAATGATTAAATGCCTGGAACAAATCCTAGAAACCAAATTGTAAGGGAATCTATAGGGAAAATCACCCAAATAACCCACTTGGGTCGCATCTATTTCAGTGTACACCACCCAAAAAAAATGTTTTTTTTTTCAATTTTAACCCACTTTTCGGTGGGAAAAGTCTGAAATACCCTTTTCATTTTATTTTTTGCGACTTTATTACGACTAACATATAACTGATATACAACTAAAAATAAGACAGATGATTTTTTGCCACCTTTTTTAGAATCAATTGTAACTATATTTAGACTTAATTACGAAGTCGTAATAACGAAGTTGTTTTTGAACGGATAAATATCGTAATTCATTAAGGGTAATTTCGTCTTTTCGCAGGGAAAAAAAATGTGTTATGTTTTCGGTGGTGTACAGATGAAATAGATGCGACCCAAGTGGGTTATTTGGGTAAAAAAACCGAATCTATAAGGAACCAAAAATGGAAAAGAAAAACTTTACTGCAGCAGGAACAACATACATTTAATTTATTTATTTTCACCGCAATAAAAAGAAAAATAAAATTCAGTGCCAAGCCGAGGCAGAGATGAGAAATCTGTGCTTCCAACCCAGAAGCAAGGCTCCATCTTTCTCCATCAGAGTGTAATCCGGAGAGTAAGAACGCAACAACGTTCTGATAACGGAGTTCACAAATGGGCTCAAAGGGTAAGTCCTGAAACCCGCCATTGTCATCCTCAACCTCCATTTCCCAAGAAGCTCATGCCTCTCCACTCTCTCCCCTCCTTCGCAAGCCACCACATTCACTATATCCTTCGCCAAACAGTGTTGCTCCACGTTTATTCTCTCCGTTCTCTCCCTCGGCAGCGTCTCGTCCAGCGACTCGAACATGGCTAAGTAATAGTCCAGTGTCTCCGCGAATCTCGTCAGGAATGGCGTCGTGTTCGTGTTTGATTCTTGCTCTATCAGGGTTGTGATCACCGGGTTGAGGGATTTCACTTTTCTTAGCAGCCCGTCTCGTGGGTTGGTCACATCCACGCTCTCGTCTGGTGTGTGGTGAAGGTGGAGAGGGAAGTTCACGGCTACGGCTTCGTCAGGTCTGATGCCGAGCATTTCGGGTGTGATTTCGGGGATGGATTCGTCGGGGAGGGCGTGAAACTCGACTGGGATGTTGAATTTGAAGGAGAGGTGGTCGAGGCGTCTTCCCACGGCATCCAAACCTTCTCCTCGGGCGTATTTTGAGACAGGATCATCGATACCCGTGATTCTTACATGAGGAGGGCCGTTTGGTCTGGCTGCTAACGCTTGCAAGAGAGTTATCCATTGTGTTCCCTGACCGATCTGGAAGTCGATGATATGAATCCAGTCTTTGTTTCTGCATGCATCGGCAATTGCCCCGTTCGCTGCCATGTACCCGAACTTCAAGTACGGGCAGATCTCGTAAAGAATCTGCATGTAAGAGAGCAAGTCTCTGCCTTTCGGCTCTTTGCATAGGAGGGATTGGTATATGTTCGACCCCGACTCCGCTTTCCTTGCGACCAAAGCTTCCACCAAGTAAGCTCCGAGTCGCTGGACGGGTTCACCAGTGATTGACACTAGGGATCTTGCTCTCTCGATCAGGATCTCGAAATAATCGGTTCTATTATCGGATAAAGCTCGGGAGCAAGCCATAAGGAGTTGCTTCAGGTTATCCGGGGAATTCCCGAATCCCTCGGTCCATGCCCGAGACCGCTGCTTAGATGGTCCTCGACCAGGCACTTCGTCTTCTACTTGGGGACTCATTAGGACAAGATCGAGTTAGAATGAAGTGGGTTTGATGTCCTAACCATATGCAATGTCCAGAGCGTTAGCCGCTTTATCTTATCTGCAACAAAATCAAAAGCAGTAAGTAAACTAATCAAATGTTATAGAACCAAACATTTTCTTGTTCCACGAGTCAGCTCACAAGAGATCATAGGCTCACTATCAAAGCTCACAAACCTCATACCATTCTGCTATTGATCATTGGCATTTCAAATACCAATGAAGATACTGATACAGAGGAACCTGATGATATGAATTCTTAATAAACAATCTCAGATTGAATCCAAGAACACAAACAAAACCATCATCAAACTCCATAGACTTTCACCACCATAAACAACAACAGCACGTGTAATTCAAACTCTAAACCCTTTAATCATTGATTCATCTCTGGTTAACAAACTGTGATTCTAGCTGAAACCCAGATTCCAAAAATCGAAACCCGCATCCATCGAGGACAGACCAAATTCAACCATGTTCTTGCAATTAAGCCATCGCCAACATCAGGAACAATAAAAACCCTTGGCAACAAACAACAATCATTGTTACAACAAATTCATCTGGAAACAAGACAAACCAAAACAATCACGACACAAGCAAACGCTAAGACAACAAAAATGAAGAAACGGTGAGTCGGCTGATTAATGGAATCACCTTGTGTTTTGCGAAGTTAAACAAACTATTCCTCGCCTCAAAGCTCGAAACTTTCCGAACACCTCTTACCCGGAAAAAAAGAAAGCTCTAAACTTTCTCGGTTTTTTTTTTTTAAATTTAAATTTCTTGGATTTGGGTCGCCGAAGAGATTTAATTTTCGTGGAATGTATCGAAATACGAGAATATATATGTGGAGGGAAGAGGAATCTGGGGCCGCGGACATGTGTGCACGGAGAAAGAAAAGAAGTAGACGTGAGGGTCGTTTTTGTGCGGCGCGTCGTAACGGAGTCAATTAACGCCGTTAACTAACGGCTGACCCGTCCACTCGGCAGAGGAATCTACACGCGGCAAGAGGTGGCGATTGGTGAAATAGGGAAATTATTTATTTCCAAGGGGAAAGTGTAAAGTAGAAGTCTAGAAGGAAAGATTGAAACGAGAGAAAGAACAACAAAGGGACGTTTGCGTCCAAAACGCAAACGCAGTGGTTGCGTCTTGCGACGGAAGGGAGACAATGACGGCGGAGGGGAAGCAGAGTTTCGTTTCTTTTTTTTTTCTTTTTTCCCCTACTTTTATCTTTTTCCGTAAAATTTGCCATTTGGTTATGTCATCAGAAGGCGTATAAAAAGTAATTTAAATTTAATCCAAAAAATTTGGGAAAAAGGTGATACAAATTTAAAGCTCTTATTGTATAATTTTAAATATTACTTTCTTAACTCTATGCTTTAAGAACTTATAAAATTAAAAATGTATCTATTGATTTAAAGTGAGATTCATTGGAAAGTGTAATTTTTTCTTTTTGATTTTATATATATATATATATATATTACGTATACCGTATACGTATACGGTATGCGTTTCTTTAAACTATTCTAACAAAATCTCTCAGTTAAAAAAATTAATGTTAAAATTTAAAATAAAAATAAAAAATAAAAAATCTCAGTTTCTTGTAGGGTGAAAGCGCCGCAACTCCATGGGATCGAATCTGCTTCAAATACTCCCAAATTGGACCACGAAACATACAGAGACCATCTGCTGATGCATCCAAAGAAGTTACACGAACGAAAAATAAAATAAAATAAAATAAAGTGTAGCTTAATTTATTAAAACAAATTTTAATAAAGGAAGAATTAAATAATAAAAAAAGCATACCTTAATTCATTAAACAGGTTTAATTATGTCTACTCTTTTTAACTTACGGTAGAAATACATGCTCGTATTACAGATGAGTATTATTTATTATTTTTTATTTGATTCAATGAACGAGAAAATGGTTGAATCTAATAAAATGACATATTTTATACTTTATGTTCAACATATATCACGAAATAAAAAAAAATGAGAAGTTTGAACTATTATTATCTTTAGTTAGATTACATCTAACTCAATTAAGATAATCATAATAATATCTTGGTGGAGACTAACTATAACGTGTAGACTAAGGTGTGATTTACGGTTATTGCCACTGCAATCAGTCACACATAAGAGAATTGAGCACCAACATTTTATTTATACATGTATACGTTGTATGTTGTTTGATTTTTTTATTTAATTTTTAAAATATTTAGAATTAAATATTTAAAAATGTATCATCTTCTGCCAAGTGAAAGAGTCCCACTCACATTTATTCTTCCAATGCCGTTTTTAGTGCATGCATCTGGAAACTTTTCGCAAGCCGATGTTGGAATATCTTTTCAATTTTTCATGGACCTTTTTTTTTTAAAAAAAAAAACCCTTATGTCCGACAAAAATAACTATGCATCAATTTAACTCTCAAGAACGTTCCATGAAAGTCTGTTTTAACTCTGACAAGAGCCAACATACATTGGTTTCTTTTATTAATCTCGCCACCTAGTTTTTGGAGGTTAAACGCATTCTATATCAATAATATAGGTATTTTTGTCGGAAAACTAACAAGTCTATTTTTTTTTTCTAATTTCCAAAACATAAAGTATATAGATAGATATATTTTTGCTATATATGTATATATACTTTTAGTCTTTTAGACATGTCCAAGATTATTGTCTTCTGACTTCAATCGGCGTTCACACATTTTGTCTTTTGGATGTTTGTTCATTTGTTTTTCTTATCTTCTCTCTATACAATTTTTTCCGTATGTATAAAAGAGAGAAGCTTTTGTCTGTCCTGATTCGTAAACTATAATTATTTTACGAAATTGTTAGCTTATTATGTTTTACAAAAAATATATATATATATAAATTCGATAAGCATGGTCTCAGGTTTTGGACGATTTACTTTATAATTAAAAAGATGACGGAGAGCGTACATCCATCAAATAATTAAACAAGGATACATATAATGTATCAAAACACGAGTGGTGCATAAATTTAATGTTTTCGTTCATCGCTTTTGGAAGTTGAAGTACTTGATGCTAATTGCAAAGACGAAAACGAAGACAACAATCCAGACCACATGAACTATGGCCACAATTGGTAAGAAGTCATGGTCGAAGCCTAACCCGTCTTTAAGCAACACTCTGAGACTTATGTCTCCCAAACCCGGGATTTGTACGGATGTTTCATTGTCCCCTATTTGAGATGTGACGATTCCGTATAGTGTCCAAGCTACAGGTGATGCCCAGTAGTACCATCTGCACCATACCGGTATTTCCTACATTGTTTTCGGTTAAAAAAATCAGTTTTTCTTGTTCATGTTTGATAAAGCGAAGAATTCGTACAAAAATACAGCCATATTACGTTTTCGTGATCCAAAACATTGAACTGATGCAACATTTTCGGTTGAATAACCGGGGGATGCGGTTTCCTTTTAGCTCAACTTTGTATTGCCAACACAGAATGCATTTCAGACCAATGTTTTGGATTATGTTTTTCATAACGATAAAAACCCATCGGAACTAAACTTGCATGCGATGTTAATATCATATTGAGTGATGTGTTTACTTTTAGAGTAGAAGAGTACTAACCGGTCTGGGGATGATAAAACCTGAGAAGAGATTCCAGAGAACGAGGAAAAAGGACATACAGATGCCGGCAATATGATAGTTTGGCGTCAATGCGACGAGCATCATACCGTAGAGTGTGAAGTAGATGAAGCATGTAACTATGTAATAGAAGAACCACAAGAACTTGACGACTTTCCAGTCATATCCGATCATGGAGTAAAGGATAAGTGAATAAATAACCGCTTGTGCAAGGTTGTATATCATTTCCACCGCCACCTGCAGAATTAGGATTCAGATTTCTGTTTGAACATAACTGCGGAAAATCTCCATTTGGATGATGAAAAAGGAGATATCTTGACACTAAACCAAATCTATTAGCATGGTTCTGGTTAGATTTAGTAAAAGGGTCATCTGCCGGTAAGAAGATGAAAGTATTTGAAGGGTACCTGAGCAAATGCATAGGGAATAGCAGAATACAATCCGGCTGCTCTTTCACGGTAGAAGACTGTCCGTTCAACTGCAACGACGGGTTGAACGGTAACAGCGTTGGTGGCACCGAGGAACATAATGGCAGCATACATTGCTCCAAAGAAATTATTCAGGTCTTGTTGTTTCTCTCTGTTTTGGTTTGATTTGCATAGAAATTAGTCACTCTGATCGACGGTTTTAAACGATTGAAAGAAAGCGATGGAGAACGGGTTACGCACATTTTTGTTCCTTTTTGCCAGTAAATTAAACCGAACAAGACGCCAATGACAACCGTCATGAGAAACCTGATGGCGTTGTACTGAGGATTCCTCCAATATGAGTTAAACTGTTTCCAGAAGCAAGCCTTGCATTGAGTAGAAAACGATTGCGAGTATTTGGTCGGGAAGTAGAGATCATCTGATCCCCGTCGTGGAGTACTGATCTCCTTGATGAGCTCCTGATTTCTCCTAAACAACATTGCAAGCTCACAATCAGATTAATCCGTGAAATGGCGTAAGAGAAACAGATTACTCTCCAAGATCTTTTGATACTCACTGATATAGCGAGGAGTTGGCGTATATTTCAGCGAAGTCGACGCCCAGTTGCGTCTCCATTGATGGAGTACTGACATCAAGCATCCATGTCGCAGGATTGTACCCATCCTTGATCTCTGGAACCCCAGGAACAGCCTTTAAGCACGGTTTTAGATATTAGTTCATCTGCATTGAATGTGTATGACCAAAGAATCAGAAAGCAAAGTACGTGAGAGAAGAAAATGATCACCTCGAAGTATTCTATGAGCTTGTTCGAGTGGCGCCCCAGACTTCCTGCATATATAACTTGTCCCCCTCTTTTCATCAATAGTAGCTGCAATGACCAAGATGTTTGTCAATCATTCTGAATTACCTATTTTTGTGTGAAACTAAAAAGAGACAAGAGACGAGAATTCAGGCCAGGAGCCCAGACCTCGTCAAAGGCTTCAAAAATATCTATGCTCGGTTGATGAATGGTACAGACCACAGTTCTTCCCGTATCCACAGTATTTCTAACAGTGCGCATGACAATGGCTGCAGCCCTGGCATCAAGACCGGACGTTGGCTCGTCCATGAAGATTACAGATGGGTTAGCCACCAGTTCAACAGCTATGGTGAGTCTTTTCCTTTGTTCCGTTGAAAGACCATCAACCCCGGGGAGACCAACTAGACAGTTTCTGAGGGGTTTCAGCTCAACCAGCTCCATCACTTCTTCAACAAACATCTGTAAATCATATCAAAAGACAACAGTTTTTATAGAATTCTGAAGTTAACATCCATTTATAGACTATGATCTTGCCAAGGATAAAAACAACACATAACACATATATGGAACACTAGGGTTGGAAGAAAACGATTTCTGTGTAATTGGGTCCTAAATCAGATATTACCCGCGAGTACCCGAATGAACAATAAAATGACAGGTTTGCCCTTAGGTTTTAGATATATTACATAAAAATCTACTGAAATCTCTTGAAATTTTGGGTTTGTGTTCAGTAATAAAAAAAAATCGGTTAAATTCTTAAAAATTCAAAATATCATATTAAAACTCAGGTAGGATATCGACGTAGATAAAAAAATTATCTTGTATAACCGACCAAAACAGCTCCGAGATTGGAAATATCTCATGAGACCCAATGCATTCAGGTTCGGATTAGGATAACCGGAAAATCTCGGATACCTAACGTGTGCCACCCCTAAACACCACTGCAACAGTCACCTTGGTTTGTAAAAACTTGACAAATGATATGAGAAGGCAGGAAGTGGAGGTATTATAATTACCTCTTGTGTTTTTGCATCTATGTCTGAGGAAAGACGGAGCCAGGCTGAATAAACAAGGGATTCATAAACAGTGACATTTGGAGAATGAATGTCGTTTTGTTCACAGTAGCCGCTAATGCGGGAAAATGTAGCTTGGTTTTTCGGGTACCCGGATATGTTAATACTCCCTTCTATATAGCCTCCTGTTTTTCTACCTGCCAAGACATCCATCAAGGTTGTCTTGCCCGCCCCACTAACGCCAACTAATGCTGTCAATACGCTTGGCCTGAAAGCCCCACTAACGTCTCTTAGTAGTTGAAGACGATCCCCTTGAACTCCTTGAGTCTTCATTTCCTGCAGTAGAAAAGGAATCATGAAACTCAAAGGTTACACATGTAAGAGTTGATATTCACAAATGCTCTAAATTAAAAAAGCAAAGGATCGAATTTGAGGCAGAATGGCTTACCGCAGGCATATCCACGTAGTAATTCACATGGTTGAATGCGAGAGAAAGTGATTGGAAGGGTAAAATCATTCCTCTCTTTGGTCCCTGATTAGAAGAACTTTTGAGTTCTACGAGATTACCTGCAAAGTTTCTACAGAGTCAGGAACTAGGAAAATGGAGAAATTATGTAGATGTTTGGACACGTCTAATAAGTCACAAAAACAACAATATGGAACATAAAGAGTAGAGAATATTTTAACAAAAAAGAGTAGAGAATATTAAACCTTCTATTCCACTGTTATGCCGTTTCTTGTGGTCGTCTTCCTCCACAACCGTTGCCTTGGAGTCATGAAGAGCTGGAAATAGATATTCAGCAAACATAAGGTTTGTCATCAAGATTTTCTCTTCATATCGAGTCGAGAAGAGAAAAAAATTCAATATACGATCACTTACGATTCAAGTAAGTCAAAGCTAAAATGTAAAGAACATTGAACAGTACTGAATATCCAAGCAGCGCTACAATACAGATCCAAAACCAATATCCTTGTGTAAAGAAACCCCTGCTCTTCAAGAGGACTTCGCCGACCGTTCTTGCATTTATGCGGGTGTCCATGTTGGGCTGCATCATGTAACATTACGAATTTGCATCACAATGATCGGGGAAAGATCAAGTCGGTTAGTAGGCAAACGCTACAACCAAAAGAAAAAGAAACTGCGTAAAATCTTACCATACTCCATCTCTCATCCAGAAATTCATTCATAACAATAGCAGTCTGTCCATACATCATAGGTGATGCGTAGTAGCCCCATATCATCCATGATTGGATATCATCTGTCAATAAAACAAGATAACCTTTTTTAAATTGGAAAATCTTATGGATAACTACAATCTTGGAATGCTGAGAGGGGATCCAAAAGTTCAAAATTATGAAACATTGTTTACAGTTAGTAAAATTTCCGTACTTGGTTATGGTATCTAAAGAGGTAGACTACTTACCTTTTGCAACGATGAAGCCTCCAAGGACAAAAACAATAAGCAATGTGAAGGTAAATAACGTGTTTGCAATGACTTGAGTTCTTCCAACGGCTCCAAGGAATCTGAATAAGGAGAGGGCCATCTGATTCACAGAGAAGTATGCCAGCAACTGGCGGAAGAACCTAGCGAACATAACTTTGGTTAGTTCAAGATATATCAATAAATTACTGTAATGGAATTTTCCATGGTGAATTTTGGAATGCAGGAAGCCAAGTTACCTGCCAGCAGAAGGAGCGAAACCGACAGTGTAGTACGTAAGAATGATCCATATACCTGATTCGAGAAGTGATATCGGAATCCTGAGAACCCACACTGGTAAAGCAAAAGCCCAAGGAGGATAGAACAAGCAGTCTCTCTGCTTGTAGAAAACTGGAAGCCTCATCACTGTCAAAGCTAGCTCTGCCATTCCATTAAACATCACATTAATCAAGCTGAAAAACAATGCTCCATAGAATTTTGAACCGTCTTTCACTGTGCCAACGGGCATTTCTGTCCTGAAAAACACTGTCATAGTTATCAAGGACATGATGGTTATTTGGACGGTCTTGAACACATAAACGAATGAGTTCCGTTTCATAAGCAGCCATTCCCTAGCAAAGCATGCCTTGAAAAGATCCATGTTTGAAATCCCATATTTTTCTGTCACCAATGCTGCAGGGTGGATTTTGGATTTGTCATAAGGAACCCTAAGTTCTGATGCACTGTGTTGCCCGATGTGGAAAGAATTAAACCCCCTCGCAAAATCAGGTACCGCAATATAGCTATAAGGTTGATCTTCCCTGTACCAATACTGCTCTTGGTCCTTCTTAGAGGTAACTTCTAGCAGAAAGTCTGCAACTCCCTTCCTTTCAGGGCATTTGAAACCCATAAATTCAAAGAACTCAAGAACATTTTCCCTCGGACCTTGGTAGACAATTTGGCCCTCTGAAAGCAGGATAATGTCATCGAACAGTTCAAATGTCTCGGGTGCAGGTTGTAGAAGCGAAATAACTGTAGTGACATCCAGGAAACGAACCAGATGCCTCATGAACTTGCAAATTTGGAAAGTTGTGGAACTGTCCAATCCGGTTGATATTTCATCCATGAAAAGAGCGGTAGCAGGCCCTACCAGCATCTCTCCTGTTCATTTCAGAAAAGAATAAAAAAACCACATGGTTAGCAACAGTTATCCATCGCATGTGTAATGATCTGCATGGATTTCCGTCCGCTACTCTTTTGTAGCAAGATTGCCATTGAGAAGAAACACTCTACTTGGACTTAGCTGAAAAGTCTACCTGTTGTTAGACGCTTCCGCTGCCCACCGGAAATACCTCGTCTCATCTCATCTCCGACTAGTATGTCGGCACAAAAATGCAGCTGTGTTACTGTGTATCATATCTGTAATGATTCGCAGGGATCTCCGTCCAATCCAACATTATTTTGTACCAAGGATGTCATTGAGAAAAGTCTCTAATCAGACTTGAGAGAATTTTACCTGTTGTTAGACGCTTCCGTTGTCCACCGGAAATACCTCGTCTCAACTCATCTCCAACTAGTATGTCAGCACAGATGTCCAACCCAAGTATCTGTCAGAGGGACATTTCTAGGGATGAGCCCTTCTCATTTTGACTTTGTTAGAAAGGGCACAATAGAAAGAAAATCGCAAAACCTTACCGTGAGAATATAGTCGGTAACCAAACTAGTCTCTTGCCCTGCTATTGCACTTGATTTCATGAATGCATCAATTTCAGGGTCTGGCTTGATTCCTGCTTCTTGCTCCCGTCTTGAGAGTTCAGCCAGGAGATCATATCTAGACCCAACACCTAAACAGCGGCCTGAGAAATCCAGTGTCTCTGTCGCTGTCATTTCGCCAAAGTGAAGATCGTGTTGACTAATGTAAGCACATGTCCTTCGAGGAACAAACTCGTTAAACTCTTGACCGCAGTATGTTATCCTCCCCGACATCTGTTTGCAACTTCCAGCTCAGTATTTCTATACTATTTCAGATTATTGTAAAAAAAATGACCCGTCCACTCGGACATATGTGCAAGTGAAACCGACCTTTAGGCTATCGTCAAGCTTCCCTGCCAAAGCTAGCAACAGTGTTGTTTTCCCTGAAGCTGGTGGACCAAGCAAAAGGGTCATCCTGAAAGTGTTTCCATTTGGACAACCATCAAAACAAAAAGGAATCATGACGTGCATAGGTAAGTATGCATCAACAAGTAACGCAAAAATGTAAGGAACACAAGGCAAAATGCAAAGAACAGAGGCCTAAACTAGCTTTCATCCATTACTCAGGTTCAAACCAGCTTGGCCTAGAGGATGGTTCGTCACAACAAAGATGCTGAAGTACTACAAAAATACGCCAAATACACAATTTTTTTTTATTTTCTTAGATGCAGTGCAAATACACAAGCTTGCTTTACCTTGATGGTTTGACTATGCCGCTGATGTCTTTAAGAATCTGAATCTTCCTCTTTCTGGATGGGACAAGGCGTAGAAAGCCAAGAACGCTCTTTTTACAATAAAACAGAGGGCGTAAGTAAAAACTGCATCTTCGTAAAAAGTTGTAACCTTACATAAGATAAGACCCACAACAATTTCACATGAAAATTGCTCAAAATTGTTAAGGATTTTGATACGAATTGAAATGAACCTATTGGTATTCAGGGTCAAATACAACGAGAGAGAGAGAGAGAGGAAGGATTATCTTAAATTGCTTCGCATCAATTTGAAGAATTAATCATTATGTCATTGCCTGTGTAACACGAATCAACACATTGTCTTGTTGTATGAACAAAAAGTTCAAAAAGGAAAATATTTTTGGGAAAAAAACTAAGCCCACGAAAAATGGAAAAAGGAATAGAACAATGGCATGAAGAATTTATTATAAAATTCATTCGACTATTAACTTTAAATAAAAAACAAAATCTTTTATTTTACTTTTAAAATTTATGCATTATATATTACATAACTTTCTTTACTGATTTTTTTATAAAAAAAATTATAATTTAAAACATCTGAAATCACAAATATTATCAATTTTTAATATATAATTACGAATTCAAAAAAATAAAATATACTTAGTTTTAGTTTTAACGTAAAATTTGTATACAAATATCTTATAGAGGAAGAGGATTGTATATATAAACTATATCATTCTAAATATCATATTTAATATTTATACAAATTATAAATATTACAATATCAGAAATTTATACAAATACTTACTTTTTATTATAATATTTAGAATTGTATAGTTTATATATAGTTATTTATGATAAATTTGAAGTAAATATTTGAATAAATTAGGATATTGATTTTTTAAAATTAATAATATATATATATATATATTTCTATAATAAATTCAAGGTGAATGTTTTTGTTTATATAGTTGATATTTTTTCTAAAAAATAATAGTTGAATTTTTATAATAATTGTAAAGTAAAAATGTTTTTGTTTTGATAAATGAGATAATTCATAGTTTGTTTTAGTTTATCAAACAAACAAAAGAAGGACCAAAAAGGGAAAAGAGAAAAAAGGTCACCTCTAAAGTGTTCAAGGTGACGTTGAAGAGAGTCGGAAGCGCTCTGCTTCCAACGTACACATCTCCCATCACTGCCAAATTCTCATACCGAACTTCGATTTTTGGCACTTCGATCGAAACCCTAAATCCCAAATAAAAAAGATCAAATCAAATTACACGCATTTAGTCATAACTAATCAAAGTTTCAAATTAGAGACCGTCGATTTCGACTCACCTGTCGACTCTGTCTCTCAATCTCTGGAGGAACTTCTCGTTGTCGTCCTCTACGAATTTCAAAATCATCTCCATCAACTGCTTCTTCTCCTGGGGCCCGAGTCTGGTGACGTCGATCTCCTCCAGCCTCATCCCTCCGGTGTCCGTCACGCGCGGCATCATTCCCTTCCGGAGCCGATCGTACGTCGGTAACCGCTCGATCGCCGCCCACCGGAGCTCCTCCTCGTCGTCCTCTCGCCTCAAGTTGTTCCCGAAAACCTCGTCGGCCTGCGCCATGCTCCGGTGACTGGTGGAGCCCCAGCTCCTGCCTCCGCTCATCGTATGGACCATATCTTCGTCTCGCCCCAGCATCGCCGCCATTTGCAACGACTGAATGGGTGAAGAATCCCACGACAGAGTTTCCACAGAAAATTTGAAAATCTGGAAAATTTTCGTTGTGATTCATTTGAAAACGAATGTATGCAAAAGCATTTATACTGTACGACCAGTGAAAGCTATACATGGCCTAGAAGCAAAAATGGAAGCTGAATCGGAGATTTTAGAAGGATATACTTCCGTAAAGGGAGAGGGAGAAATCAGGAAGATACAAAGAAATTGGAGGAAATGAAGTCTGTCCCTTCGTAATGCTCAATAATAATTTAATGGTAAAACACTAAAATTGCTGAATTATCCCTGAAAAAACTTCTAGAAGAATAATTTAATTTCAATATCACAATTTATATGTTGTGAACTATATCTTTGTTTAATTTCGATATTAACTAAAATAGTTTTAATATAATTCCCTTTTAAAAGGTTTCTAGAGGTATCTTATCTAAAGTATATTTTATATTAACTATTTAAGATATTTTTTTCTTTAATTGTTAATTTTCTAAAAATAATTGTTTTCTGTTTTTTATTACCTTCAAATAATTTTTCTAATCGTTAAAATAAACTACGATAACATAATTTAAAAATTAAAGTATTTTTGCACTCTACAAATTGACCAACCACATCCAAATTTATTATATAATATTATTATACAAATTTTCTAATGGCTTGTATTAACATGTCATTCCCCAGTCGTTTAAATCCTCTCAGTGTTTTATAAAAAATCTAAGCCAAAAATCCTAAATTTCTAGTATAGAAAATTTTAGGAATAAAATTACGAGTTAATTATAAATCGTTTTATAAATTCATTTTTTTCTCTTCTCAATATACGGATACTTTAAATTATTTTCTGAAATACCCCAAACCATTCCATCAATTAATTTCTCTCCCCTTTATTTATGGCATTGGATTCTAAATATCCTCCATCACTTGCCCGTCAAAATGCCTTTGTCAGATATACCTTTATTAAATCCAAAAACAGAAGCGATTGGGAGCCGGAAAAGAACAAAAAAGGAGAGAAAATGATGGAAACTACAGAGCAGTTTGATTTGTTTTGGATTTTTTCTCGTTATTTCAGGATGCATTATATGACGAGCTGGTCGAACGAGGTGGCTCGCGAGAAAAGAATATTTTTTTATTATGTTTTTTATTATTTTATTATTCTTAAACAATTTTTATTATTATTTTAATATTTTATATTATACTTCATATTTTTTAGCTCGAGAACTAGAGCGATTTAGACCGAGTTGGGATATTGTTACTCTTAAAAAAGGGATGTATCGATCTAGATCCAAAATAAAATAATTCGAATAGTTCTGGATCGTATCGGACGATCCAACCCGTTTTACATCGCTATTTATAAAAGAAAATGTTATGAACAAAATGGTAAATTGAATACGAGTTCAGCTTGCTTAAAAAATTGATCTAACGGTCTCTTCAAATTTATATGATTTTTTTTATTAAAGATTGTATTTCTATTTACAAATGTTTTGTTTACAAGAGTGTGAGATCCCCTATGAGTAGGAGTGACTGCGGAGACTATGCAACTTTTGAGCAGCATGCACCTAAGATACCCAATGAGCAGTGGGCGAATGGTTGAAAGGTTGTTATTCTTGGAATTCCGATCACCAGTTCGAATCCAGCTATTGGGGAAGGAGGGGGTGCATTTAAGGTGTTGTTCTCTGGGCCCTTAAATGTACTTTAAAAACTGTTCTCGGACCATGGAAAATGTAGTCGGACCGAAGACCCGGTGAACTTCCTAATTATAAAAAAAAACATGCAACCTAAGATCTTCCTAAAATTCCTAAAATCAAGAGTTTGAGAGTCATAAACAAATCGAGTAGCTAATGAACTCCAGCGCAGAGCCTCGTAGTGCCGCCATCTTGGGTTGGAAAGCCCTATCGATCTCTTTGAATAGAGTGCAAATGTCCTTAAATATCCTATTGTGAATACGAGAATCCATTTCCTTCCGTATAATATAGATTAGTATGTATCTAGGAGGATTCGATGGTCTGGTAGTAAAATAATATGTAAAACATATTTTTATCTGAGGTTCAAATTCAAACTTGAAAAAGAGTATTCATCTGAATTTTTCCAATCTTTTGAAAGATATAGTTAGGTTAAAGGTTACGTAAACTTCTGAATTATAAAATATATATATATATATATATATATATATATATATATATTTGTATGTGCCATAGTATTCATGCCCCCCAATCAATAATATATATATATATATATATATATATATATATATATTAGTATGTGCCATAGTATTCATGCCGCCCAAATTTATATGATTTAAAGGATATAAAATCATAAACTCGAAACTTGCCATTTTGAAGGGCTTTAGTCAAAATGTCTTCAAACCGATTCCACTCTTCACATCACATGCATTGTGATAAAAAAAAAACATAAATTCTTATATAACAAATAAAAGATTTTATGAAATATTCAATAAAAAAAATCAATTGTGGCCTCCAAATCTTAGTGCCATTTATACTTTATTTTCTATTTGTTTATATAATCTTATCGTTTTCAATTAATATTATATCTATAAATAGATGTTATTTAATTCGTTTTAGCTTTAAATGTTTGAACCCAAGTATCGATCCGTTCGAATTTCTTTTCAAATAAAAAAATAATAATAAAGATATCCAAATATTCTCAATTTATGGTAAAATTTTGAGAGAATCCATACTTGGATTGTTAATGAGAATCCATCGAAGTTCAGTTTTTTAACATTGTTAATGAGAACAAGGATTTTTTTTTGGCTAGAGAAATATATCTCGCATATTTTTAATATTTTTTAAAAATTAAAATAATATGATAAGTGAAAAAAAATCTAAAAACATACGTTTTATTTTGTAAAATTTCAATCTATAAATTTACAAATATTGAAGTGGTGTTCGGTTAAAATAAATAAAGAAATCGTTTTTTACTTTTTTTTTATAATCCTGATCAATAGTTTACATGTATAATTTACCAAGGAATATATTGTATCCATATAAAATTGTTAACATGGATTTTAAATTTGGGTGGGCGTTTTGAATTTCGGTTCGGAAACGGTATTTTCGGTTTTATAAAAAGTGTACTAAATTAGAATCGAATGTTAAACGATTCGGTTCGTTTCGGTTTTAGTATCGGTTCGGTTCAGAAGGGCACCATTATATGAATATCAAATAAGTACCAAACTATAATATTTATATATATATTAGTGAAAGATTCGAATTTTGGTTCGGTTCGGTTCGATTTAGAAATTGTTCATTCGGTTCCATAAAAAGCGTACCAAATTAGAACCGAATGTTATTCGGTTTAATTCGGTCTGGTTTGATTTCGGGTCGGATCGGATCGAATCGGAACTAAATTCCCGAATCTGAAGACGTCGCTTGAAGATTCTGTCGGCATAGCACAGTGAAGGATCTGTAGCGAAATCCGAGAGAGGGAGCGTGGAGAAGTGGTCGTCTGATACACGGACACGTCTTAACTATATTTTGGTTTGATTCGGTTCTAAATAAAAGGTATAATTAGTTGTGGTTGTTTCAGTTCGGTTTCGCTTTAATAATAGTTTGGTTCGTTTCTTTGATTTTATAAAAATAAATACCAATCAATTATTATATCATATTCGATTCGATTTTGATTCTGATTCGGTTCGGTTTCGATTTTATGAAAAAAATTTAGATTTTTTAAGAAATTTTTGGTTTTCTAGGTTTTTTTAAAATTTTAAATTCGATTCGATTTTGGAAACTTCGGTTTTTTAGTAAAATATCGTTCAGAAATTTTGTTGGTTCGATTCGGTTCCGATAAACTGTACCGAAATGTCTACTTCTTGGTATAATATTAAAGATATCGAATGGTTCGAGAAAGATCGAAAAAATACATATATAATATTTTTATTTTTTATTTTTTATTTTTCATTTTAAGTTTTTAATTAAAAGTATTAAATATTAATAGTTACTGATCATATTCTTTTATATGCCAATTAAATGAACGTACCCAAATAAGATTTATTGGGGGTCTCATATAGAACCCATTAACATTTTATTATTGTTTTTATTTTCATTAAGCTTTAGTATTTAAATTCTCAAATTAAACTCGATCACGTACCTGAGTTCGTTTTTCTCTGATAATAAACCTAATGCTCAAAATTATTATTCGATGGATTTCTTTATTTTTATCTTTACATAAGTAAATTACAAATTATACCGAACAGTCGAACCGTCTTGATTTTGGTTTTATTTGATATTTATTTAATAAAAGTAAAAATAAAATCATACCATACCAAAACCAATCGAATAATATACGATTCTAATTTGATACTAGTTTTTAATATCAAATAAACTGTTCTTGAATCAAATCATTAAGATATCGAATCGAATCCCGAAAAGTCTGCCCCTAACTCAACTTGCACACTTATATATTATAAACAATTAATGTGACAAATTATAGTTTCATTTAACAAATAGAAATCACATCGTCTATGTCTAATAATTACTACTGAAATATAAATCTACAACACAAAATATCATAGATATCGAAATTTAAATTACCTAAAAATATTCTGTTAGTCGTTACTCTAAACAATCATGGATCAATTCATTGTGAATAGTCTAAGCTTTCAATATAAAAACATATTTTTGTACAAACCAAAACATTTTGTGGCTAATACGCTAATCCTTTTTTAAATTATTTAGCTAAAAAAATTCATCTCAGAGATATTAATATATATTTAGATAGATGGATTTTAGAGAACCACAATCTTGTGATATAAAATTCTTTCAACTATAACACCCCATACAAAGAATGTGAAAACATCTCAACCAAAACACTATTTTCTATTAGTATTAAATCTTGTAAAAATTATATAACTAAAATCCATTCACCTAAAAAATTATTAGTTTTTAATAATATACAGATAAATAATATAATCATTAAAAAGTAAAATCATAGAATAATAAAACGGTGAGATGTCCAAAGACATTTATTTGACTGAAAACAAATTTATTTATCATTAAACCAATCATATACCATTATTGTTTCTAAAAAGTTAAAGACCGAAAGAATCATAAAAATTTAGTTCCAGTTTTAACATTTCAAACAAATCATTTATATATAAAAAATTATTAAAAAGATTAAAACAAAACGAACATTATTATACAACTGTATTATGTATAAAATTACCGAAGTCTAACACTTCTTTTACAAGAACCGACACTCCATTATCTAATTCACCACAAAATCTCAACATGAAAAATTCCCAAATCTCTTTATCGATTTTCCCGCTCAAAACCGCCATGGAGACAACCTTAACCTCATCCTCATGTTTCCCCACCCCTCGCAACCCCTCGAACAAAGTACAGAACGTTTGCTTGTTAGGGAAGCAACCTTTGTCAAGCATCTCCTCTAAAACCCTGATCCCTTCTCTCGCGTTCCCGCTCTTACATAAACCTTTGATCAACACGTTGTACGTAAAAGCGTTGGGTTCACACTTCTTGTCCACCATGTCGTCCCATAGCCTACTCGCCTCCGTCAGGTCGCCCTTCTCGCACATTCCCGCGATCAACGTGTTGTACGCCAAAAGACTAGGGATCGAGCCTTTCTCGAACTCATCGAACAATTTTCTCGCTTCCCAAACATGCCCTTCTTTACACAGCCAATGAACGAGCGTGCTCACGATATTGTTATCGGGCATACAATCCTTCTTCAACATTTTCCGCCATAGCCGACAAGCTTCATCCACCTTGCGGTCTTCACAAAGCACGTCTATAACTTTACAAGAGAGGGAAGAGCTTGGCATGAAACCTTTCTCGAGCATCTCATCAAACATGTCACATGCTTCGCCGGATTTCTTCTCCTTGCAAAGACCCTCGATCATAACTCCATATGTTACTTCATTGGGCTCGATCTCGTTTTCTTCCATCTCATCCATCACTTTCGCCGCATCAGAGAATCTCCCTAATTTACAGTAACCATCCATTAGAACTGTGTATGTCGTGGCATCGGGTTCCCAGCCACGATCCAATATCTCTCTGAGAACCCTCTTGGCCGATACCATATCGCCTCTAGCAACATACCCACCTAAGATTGTAGTGTAAGTAACCAAATTGGGCACCAGACCCATTGCGGGGATTTCATCGAGCACCTTATATGCACCTTCGATGTCATTTTTCTTGCAAAGAGCTTTGACCAGCAGATTGCAAGTAAAGATGTTTGGTGTGATGTTGAACTTCTCTTTGCTGCTCTTGAATACGGCATGGACGAGATCAAATCTCTTGTTCTGGATCAGAACGTTCAACAGTGTGTTCAGCGACCTAACAGAACGCTGAACTCCGAAATCGGGTATCCGAAGGAAGGTCTTCATGGCTGATTCTGGACGACCTGCAAGCCCGTAGTTCCGAAGCAAGTCGATGAAAAGATTTTCACCGCATTTGATTGCTGGGTCAGAGTTCCAGAGATCGGCAAGCAGGGGCTCCACAGGTTCGAAAGCACGAGCACGGGAGAGCTTGAAGATGATGGAGTGGTAGGTGTCGTAATTATGTGAAAATCCTGGATGGAATTTGCCTGCGTAAAGGAACATCTGGAGGGCGAGATCAATGTTCTGCTGTTGGACAATCATGGAGATCAGCCGCTTCGGGTATAATCTTCGCGGCCATGGTTTGATCGGCGGCGTCACAGTGTAGTGCCGCAGGAGGGATTCCGAGTCGGAGGAGATGAGACGAGTATTCAGGATTGATCGGAGGCAGATTGTCTCTGGACTGCGGAGAAGCATCATCACAGCTCGGCGGAGGACCTAAGCAGTAGAACCAGTTAATCCAAAAGATCCTCTAAAATGTGGCTTCCCACCAATTAAAGAACTTATGGCATTGTAATCGAAGCAAAAACGCAAACAAAACACAAGACTCAGACCTGAGGGAGATAGGCAGAAAACAGAAAAGAAATCGAGAAGCTTCAGTGCTCAAACCAAACCGTTAACGATCAAATCAACGAATCACATAAACCAATACATACCAATGAAAGCCGATTCGCGAAAAGAGAAGCGAAAGACGAAAGAGGGAAGAGGGTCGCGGATTTAACCATAACAGATGAAAACGAACACATTAACATACAGTGAGAGAAAGCAGAAGCAGAACTAGACAGAGTAAAGGAGAAGGTACCCAAATCCGAAGTTTCGAGTTTGGATTCCCACTTACCCAGAAGAAGACGAACCGGGATTAGCAAATTTCCGGCCCTCCAGATATTATACCCAGAATTCGATCGAGATGTGACGAAAACCGATCAGACAGACTTTGCCGGAGTGTAAACGGAAAAGATTATAATCTTTTCACGGTTTCAAGCATCAACAATGACCGAATGGACATAAATTGAACTAAGGATAACAAGACAAAAGCACATCGATTCCAAATCCTACACCAAATTAGTTGTCGCCAACTAAAAACCCTAGAACGTAACCAAGCCAATAAGGTGAGCGAGCACGCGCACTTTTCACACAATCTGGTAAAAAAATATTTCTCAATCCGACGCGAAAACACAAAAATCCTATTTGTACCTGTTCTCGAGACCAGCGTACGAGATATGGAATGAGAAAGTGTGAACTTTGACGGAGAACTGAATCAGACGGTGGTGGAGAAGACAAACCCACCACGAAAGCGGCGGAGAACAAGTACGAGTCGCCGGAACGAAACTCCAGCGGCGGACGCCAGCGACGACAGAGAGAACGCAGGGAGGAGGTGTCACCGGAGAGCGAGACGCGAGACGCGAGACGAGAGCGAAATAATAAATTAATAATAGAGCCTTTTGTCGATTTGATTTTATTTCTTTTTCATTTTATGCAAAATCGTGTTTTTCCCATTTTTTAAATTATATGATTTAATTATTTATAGTGTGTCCCGTTATGAGTATGAAGAATAATCGAATGCATTCGACATCAAATAACATATAATTTTAAATAAACCGAACATAAAAACGAATTCGAATAAAAAATAAATGAAAAAAAAATTGATTTTTTTAAGAGAAAATCCCAAAAAACCACACCGAATTTTACAATTTTGACATAAAAAATACCAAATTTTTATTTTTTATCAAATAAATATTAAATTTTTTAATTAAATTAAAAAACACTAAATTTTTTAAATGATAAAAAAAAAACATATAAAAAAACATATAAATTTTTATGCAATTGTCAGAAAAAAAACACTATATCGTCTTACGGACATGACATGAGCATGTAGATGATGGACGCGACCATGCCGATTGCAATATGGGTCATGCCAATTTTCAGAGCAAAATTCTTTTATTTCATCAACGAGCGACCGTGTGTGCAAGATGGCACGACCGTGTTGCACTCTTTTTTTGAGCGGATTGTTCCCTTTGCCTTGTTTCTACCCAATTTCCTCCAAACTTCGTATTTCCACATCCGGTGCCAAAATCCAAAACCTAAAGCTAAAATGGTCGTAGTCTAATTATGCACAGAACCGGTAATAAGATACTAGACTGATAGAGTTGGCTTATCCTTTTATGTGGAGAAGAAACAATGGTTTGTCGAAGAAGAAGACACGAAGACATGAACAATCTGGAAGAAATGCTCATGTGGAGAAACAATTAATTAAGATGGACTTGAGCCTCTTTCTATTATTTTGTTGTGGCCCATGAGGGAAGAAGACAAAATAGGAACTTTAACAGATATGTAGTAAAACAAAATGTCCAGGTATAGTACTGGATTTATGTGTTTTTGGCGGAACAAAATATGTATCAGAGAAAGGACATTTGGTCCTTATCTGTAAAAGAATTTTGCTATATGTAGACAAAGTTCCTTAATAAAAGAATGAGAAAATTGTGAAAAACATAACTTCATCTTTTTTCATCCTCTTTCTTTTTCAACATCTTCATTTTTCATATTTTTCTGAATCTGAAATAAGAAACAGGATCATTATTTTGTTAGTACAAGTAAAATATAGAAGTAGACAGCAGGAGGCTGTCAAAATGAGATAGCAAAAGCTATCATAGACAACCTATCAAATAAATGAGATGAAAATTATGTTATCATTAAACAGTCTCGAAGTCTGCAGTTTGATTGTTTATCCATCCTTAATATTAGTTTTTTTTGAAACAGGATGTTATGTGGAACAAAAATAAGGCTTTTCTGGTTTTCACTTTATGGAATAATCCCACACGCTGAGTAACAGGTTGGCTTTGACCAATCTCTGGCTTTTAGAGATAGAAATGTGGGCTCCTTGTTTCAGTAGAAGCACAATGTCATCATTGTCATGTTCCCACTAATGCGTATTGGATCTTATTGATAAAGATATACTTTCTTGGCTATATGCTGTCTGCTGGTTTAGTTTATTACAATTTCTTTTGCTGTATCAGGGTGCAGATTCTGGCACTGAGCAGCTCGAACTCATTGCCCTTTCCCAGAGGACGGGGGACTTAAAGTATCAGCAGAGTGTACTTGGTTTTTCACAACTCTGGTTGTAGATCTTTATGCCTAAATTGAGATACTTTATCGTGCTTAACTCTATCGGTTTTTATTATAACAAAAGAAGTGAAAAACGACAAACGGTTTAGGATATGTATACTGTCTTAATGCCAAAGAAAATATGCAACTCAGTGTCCGCGGTTGACTCTTTTGTTGTCTGGTGTCTCAGGTAGCGAATGTTATTTCAATACTAAATAAAAACGTTCCTGCATGCTGATGGTTTACTTCCCATCTATATAAACCCCGGCACAACTACTCCATCATACTCTACCACGACATTTGGTGCCATGGGAGACAGGTGACTTTTGAACTGGGTTTATTCTCCTGTTGCTTTGTCTTTTCACCCATCCATATCTAGGTTGAAAAAGATCAAAGGAATATGTATGACCTTTTGGTTTTTTCTATGTTTTGATTTTGATGATGGTTTCATTTTAACAGCTTTTACGAGTACTTGCTCAAAGTTTGGGTACAAGGGAACAAAACTTCAGCGGCGAAACACTATAGGTAATTTGACGCCCTCACACGATATATCTGTTATTGGTTCAAGTTCAGTTATAAAATGAAACATCTCATTTTGTCCCCAAACTATGCTACTTCAAGAACTTTATTGCCTGATAGTTTTTTGTTTTTGTCTCTTGTTTGTATATCCAGATGGATGAATTGGGATGCTTTGCTCCCGGAATGTTGGCTTTAGGATCACCGGGTTATGCATCTGATGAAGCCCATGAATTTCTATCACTTGCTGAAGAGGTGGAATACCGTAGTTGGTTTCAGGCTTTTCATAGTCCCGAAGCTTCTAGTTTTAGCCTTCATTGTTTATATGTTCACACTATCTACAGCTCGCATGGACTTGTTATAACTTTTATCAATCGAGAATTATTTCTTTAACGCTGGGCAGGTAGCCGTTTGTTTTACTTAAATACGCGTTTTTTATGGTTAGTTTCTTTCTCTTAGTGTTATCCACACGCAAGATGGGTTCAGGACATGAGCAGCGTTGGAACATCGTGGAATATTTTGAGACCAGAGACCGTGGAATCCCTGTTTTACCTATGATGTTTAACCGGCAACACAACTTAACACGTTTTTCTTACTATTAAGCATTATTAGAGGTGGGTACCAACGGATACTCTTAAAAGAGATATATGCCATGTTAGTTTTTAGTATTTACCCTTTTGTCTTCTGTTGTTGATCTGGATATCTAAATTTTTCGGTTATCCAGATCTGTTTTCCAATATTATACGTTCTTTTGTTATTAATCTATTTTTTAAAATAATTCATGGGTTTGGGTATCCACGGATACCTAAGCATTTTATCGGTAATCATAGTTTGGGTACCGACCTTCGGGTATGAGTTCGAATATCAAATTGTGATAATCTAGGCCTTCAGATATGGGTTCTTATACCCTATAACTTTTCGAATGCTCGACCCATGGCAACCTCTATTAAGAATGAAGACTATAATTTAGAGAGTTCTGATTCAGATTCATATTTATTTTCTTCGGTTTTCAGGTTAACACGGGTGTCAAGGACAATAAGATGCAAAGCTTCTTTTTAGCTAAGACGCTGAAGTATCTCTACCTTCTCTTCTCACCCTCGGGGGTAATTCCCTCGGACGAGTGGGTATTCAACACAGAAGCTCACCCTCTTAAGGTCGTGACTCGGAGTGACTCGGTGAGTCTTGGGCAATCGGGTGGTGACTCGAGGCGTAAGCCTTCTATTAAGTTGCGGCCTAGGCGGTTCGGTCGGATACAGGATTAGAAAGAAGGCTCTTCACTTCACACAAATCTGATGAAACCAGAGTGATAATTTGCAATGGTCTGCATGCTATTATCGAAGGTAAGGTATCGTCATTATGGGGAGTATGATCTGTAGGGTTGGATGGTGAGGTGGTACAGCTATGTGGTCTTTTTTGCGTTGGAACTTTGGTTCTCATATTTAGGAGCTGTTTATGAAAAATACAAATTGCTAGTGTTGTATTAATTGGAATTTACCAATATGTTACATTTACATAACTTTTGCCGTAAAACTTATAAAATATTACTGATTTTACCACCGTGAAACTCTACCATAAGATTGTATAATACGTTAGGTTTGCTTACTTTAACATTTGTTTTTTTTGTTCTTTGAAATTACTCCATCCGATCATCTATTTGTATTCGATTAGAATTTAATTAATTTAATTTTAAAATTATATTATTTTTAAATCAAATTTAGTTCCAATTCGAATGTAATATATGAACATGAATTGTTACTCTTAATATAAAAACGAAATTAGTCGTTTTTTTTAAGCGTAAAAAACATAAGATAATCTAAAGACTAACATGTAAATCACATCCTGAGTGTTGTAATCATCTCTAGTGGGCATACAGGATCATGGATGTATTATATGTAAACTAAAATCTGATAATTAAAATATGCAAAAAAGAAAAAAAAAAATCTAAGACTGACCAGAGAGAATGACGGCATGAACAAGTGTCTGAGCAAAATGGGTTTGGTTTGATGTCCCAGACATCACCACCACACCTTCTGTAGCTCCTCCCTTTGGATCATTCACCACCACATTCGCTCCCGTTATCTGTTTTTTCCGGAAAATATATAACCACAAATCATCGTCTTCGGAAATTGTTTATACATAATATGTATATAGGTGTGTGCATTCCGATGAACTCACCTGCTTGATATCGTTGAGGATAGTACAGTTCTCCCCGTAGACGTGACCCATATATGCTTGAGGAATCACTATCTCCACCTTCAAGCTTGTCATTGTCTGATTCTCACTGCCAAACCGTATAACACAACTAAGATCGGAAAACTCACACTGGTGTTGTAACAAAAATTGAAATCCAGATATAGTTCTTGACGTGTAGAATTTTCCCGTTAGTCACTGTACTGATACGCCTCAAGGATCAACTACTTGAAGAGAAAGGAAAAGAAGGACTGAGCCTTGGCCTTGATTCGAAGATTTGGTGTCTCCACTCTAGAGCTGACCATGATCTTATCGGTTTCTGTATTTGATTGTTATGATTTGAGGGATTATGTGTGTAAGGCTTGGGTTTAGGCTTGTAGACACGTCAATGAGGGATGTTGAAGCATCTAAGAGTTATAACAAATAAAGTACAAGAAATTGGCCTGGAGAATGGATCCCTCGGATCAATCAAAAGCCTCATTGCGGTTTCTCATGATCTCGTTCGGGACAAAGAAGTGTCAAATACCAAGCCAATTAAGGGTTTAAAGTTAAACAAAGAAGTTTAGGAAGAAAATGGAGAAAAGGTGTACCTGCCAATAGGTTCATTCCTCAAAGCAAACCCATGGTTCACATCAGCCACACCCCAAGCATGACCATCCTGACCGGAAATATAAACGGGCTATAAAGATACGGAAGAAACACGGGTCAAAGTACATATCTGTAGCACATTATCCTACTTGCAAAAACTCTGCATACCTGTGGTGTCCAAGACATTGGTGGAGAAGGTGGTCTTTCAAATCCAGGACCATGATGACCTTGTCTCTCTGTATCATATAGGTAACAGATATGACAAAACAGAAAAAGATTGAATTATGTAACCTATTTCATGTAGTAGATCAGTTTGGTGATCATGGGGTTAAGATGGCACGGGATTTTGATCATTACCATGGAATGATCCGACTGGAGAATGGTATCGATCTGGAGAAGCTGGATAGGGTCTTGGTCCAAATGGAGGTGGCACTTCCGGAAAGGGAGCCAGAAAGGTGGGCCACCCATACCTGGAAACGACGGTCTTACCGAGAACATTGCTTCCCTAAGCCTACTTGTTATCTGGAACAAAGCATCTTGAACTGTCTTTACATTGCCCACGACCTGCCAATCCCTAGTATTGCTGACATCATCTGTATGAAAAAAGACAACAGAGGCTTTACAGATTCTGTAAACAAGATTTCTAATTACCTGTACAATCTCATCATGTTGAGGCTTGTACTTTGTAGCTTGATCCTTTGGAAAGATGCGAATGCTGGCACCAGTAGCTCTCCTCATTTCGATGATTACATGACCACCTTTACCCAGTAACCGACCTATGTATGGTGATTGTACAAGAAGCCGGGCAACAACAGCAGCACTAGGTTCAAATCCAATCTCTGAGATTCTACTATGCACACGCATTACAGCATCCTGAGCAGGAGAATGCCTTTGCTCCAAGTTCTACAACAATGTGGAGCCAGTAATTAACCAAAATCTATATTCTACGACTATATTTATTCAAACATTAATGGCTTCTATATCAGATGAGGCTTTCCTTTCCTAAACGAGGACAGTGACGGGTTTTTTACTCAAATGACCCACTTAGGTCGCAACTATTTCACGCGTACACCACAAAAAACATAACACTTTTTTTTTTGAAAAGACGAAATTACCCTTAATGAATACACGATATTTATCCGTTCGAAAACAACTTCGTTATTACGACTTCGTAATTAATTCTAAATATAGTTACAATTGATTTTAAAAAAGGTGGCAAAAAAATCACCTGTCTTATTTTAGTTGTATATCAGTTATATGTTAGTCGTAATAAGGTCGCAAAAAATAAAAAGAAAAGGGTATTTCGGACTTTTTCAATCGAAAAGTGGGTTAAAATTGAAAAAAAAAATTGTTTTTTTCCGGTGGTTTACACTAGCTGCGACCCAAGTGGGTTATTTGAGTAAAAAACCCGACAGTGACAGCTCACTGAGTGTGAAAAGTAAAGTATTTACTATCATACGGAAATCAACACCTCCTGGAAAAGGATACTCAATTCTTTCAGCACTCGGACAATACATAATATGAGGACATAGGATAAGTGGACTAACAACAACGCCTTAATCTCAAATTTTTTTGAGGATCCAGATAGATGCCGATTAGAAAAGTAGAGAACCTAGGAATGAGAATGAGGAGAGAAGGGAGGGATAAACCTAGGCTTATTTGGAAATGAGTCACAGCAATGACTTGAAGTTGCAAATTTCGTGAGAAACCCAAACAAAACCGAAATGAGTGGAAACAAAGACTTCATGCAGTCAATCCCAAATAAACTTATGATTTAAGACGATGTTGATGTTGTTGAAATAGAACAAGTGGACAAATACAAAATTAATTGGCAATGAACCCACATACCTCTCTTGCCGATATCAAGATAACCCACTCCTCCGAATCATGTATAGGATCCGCTACTTTAATTAATGCACCAGTTTCATTTTGAATAGCTCGAACAACAGAACCACCTTTCCCTAACACGCTTCCAACTTTAACAGCCTAGCATAAGAGCTTGAACACTATGTCCTCTTCGATAACCATTCTATTATAGGGTCTGACATCTTCAGGCATCATATTAGGACGGTAATCCCATTGATGATGATATTCCGCAGAATGATAATCAGGCGGATAACCATGAAACATGCTGGGGAAACGGACACGCTTCCCATGTCGAGGGTGCGTTACTGCTTTGAAGATAATGAGAGACCAAAAGAAGGGCCTTCTTTACAGCCGAGAACTTCCCTGATATCTTCACAGCATAAGCTTTGTATCAGCCAGAACGAACGAATGAATCGCCAGGAAAAACAAGACAACGCACCTTCAATATTTTAAGAATTTCATGGAAATCCCTAATCACTAGCATCTTTTCACAAATTTAAGCGAACGGCCCACGATTCTACACGGAAACGAACATAACCAAATGCTGAATTCGAGTAAAATCAGATCACCATTCACCAGAGGGTTTTCCAAATGCACAAAAGTGAAGAAATGTCTACCTGAATCACCTCATCACCGGGAAAAGCGCAAGGAGGAACCTCATCTTTGGGCAAAACCACAACAGTAGCTCCACCCTCTTGCCTGATCCTCTGCATCATCCTCCCTCCTCTCCCTATCAAGAACGCTGCCTGATTCCCTCCAACAAGCATCCTACAGAAAGCCTCGGTCTCCGACTTCTCCAACTCACCGCCCTCGCCTCCAACGCCGAAAGCAGCATCGTCGCCGAACACTAATCTCTCCAACACTCGAACCAAAGCTATTTTCGCCGGCGACATCTCCTCCTTATCGTGTTCCGCCATCCCGCTCGTTTCACTCCTCTGTTCTTTCCTCTGCTCCGAGTTAGGGTTCTCCGATGAATCGTTGCTATGTTCGTCCTTCTTCGGATCCTTATCTCCGGAAATTCTTCCCGCTGGCGAGATTACCAGCACAACGCGCTCCTCCGAAGGAACCGGGATGTCGTTGATGACGCGGATTCTGGAGCCGGTGATGGATTGTAGATGGCGGATGACGGAACCGCTTTTTCCGATGATGGCGCCAGTTCTCGGTGCAGGACAGAGAAGACGGAACTGGACGGACTCCGCCGGAGACGACTTGAAGGAAGAGAACTCCATGGATTCCGATCGTGAGGATTCCTCGGCCGGGCTAACGAGCAAAACTCGCGAAGATGCTGAACCCGCAAAACCCATTACAAATTTGCTACGGCAATATAGTTCTAAAAAAATATACTTTCTTTTCCGTAGTTCCGAAAAAACAATACAGTAACTAATGAGATATTTGCAAAGTTTATATATTTGTAAAGTTTATGATTTTTATAAAAATTTCAAATTTCTTGTATTTATTTTCTTTAGATTTAGAAATTCTATGCATCCAAATGTTAGGATTCGACCACCCGTGTGTATATCTACAATTATTTATCTTGGTTTGATAGGGTATCAATCCGCCCGTCCGTTCCGAACTCACGTTCGATCCGAAGGTTTCGGATTTGGGTTCGGACTGACCCGATTTTTTTGGATCTAATAAATTAAACCCAAAATCTGATTCTATAAAACTCTAGTTCGGACCAAATTCGGCTCGACCCCCTTAATAAATATAAAAAAATAAGATTTTATTTATTTTTCAATATATTTGTTACAAAAAAATAAATAAATCAGTCTTTTGAATTGGTCTAAAACCTGTCGAGCTTCGTCTGTCTTTATCTTCTTAATCATCGTATATACTTACAAAGACCCCTTCGATAGATTCAGGCGAACCTTGAACCTACTCAAAGTCGTTGAAAAATAAGCATGTCAACTCATCTACTAAGAGAAATCGAGATCATCGACTAATTCCTCGGTTATGAGTAGGATCGCGTTGATCCGAATACGTTAATATGTGTGTTCGTGAGCGAATCAAAAGGTGAAGAAACCGCACGATGAATTAGACTATTATCGTTTCGTTGTTTCGACGCAATTTCGCAATAAATTTGAATCTGAATTTGGAAATGATATATTCTTAGGTTTGCCGACGTACGTGCGTGCGTGCGTACTTGCAGCGCGTTGAAAATGAAAGGAAGATATAAAAACAACGCAAGCAGTGGCTTGAGTTTGGTTATCCGTCAAATCCCGAACATTAATTTTTTGTGAGAAGTTTGATGGGACAAGAATAAATACACTAACATGGTAACATGCCTGTTATCCATAGATGACCATGGCAATCATACAAATAATACCAGATCAATAGATCCGGTTTAGTATATGAAAAATTATTTTTTAAAAAAGAAAATCCTATATAAATACCTAAACTTTTATAAAAATTCTCAATAAAAATATTTAAATTATAAAAATTTTATATAATTATCTGAACTTTTCAAAAATTCTATAAAATATTTAAATTTTTTATTTTTTTAAATAAATCTAAAATCCATTGATGATGTTAACTATTTTTATTTAGAAAATATTTGAATTTTGGTTATATGTGAGAAATTTTCAAAAATTTATATATTTATATACGATTTTTGAAAAATTAATAAGATATTTATGTGAGGTTTTTAATTTTTTTATAAAAGTTTAGATATTTATATGTTATTTTTTAAAATTAAAATTTTATTTATTAATATGCAAGTTGCGACGAAAATTAATGCCAAAAAATAGAAAATATTTATTATTATCCAAGCTGATATACGAAAAAATGGAGAGTAAAATTTAGACAGTCCAATATTCATGGAACTCAATAATAGAAGAGAGTGGGATCCATGTCTTGTCTGTATCCATTTTCTTTTCTTTCTTTTTTCTTTTGGGATAGAATCTTAATTACCAAATTTGGGTTCTCTCTGATTCCATCTTCATCGCAACGAACAGATACTTTGGAGTTGGAGACGTAACCATCAAATTCTTTATAATGGGAATAAAATTGTTCATCTAATCTCCCCAAATTCCTCTTCTTCTTCTTCCTCTCTCTCTCTCTCTCTCGTTCGTCATTGCAGAAACATCCCTTGAGAGGTAATTCGCAACACTTTCTATTTCTATTCTTGTTCCTTTTCTTTTGTCTTCTGCATTATTAGAACCGTTATATATATATATAGGAAAACCGACATCTATTTGTAGCTTGATAACCAAAACCGGTTCTGTTCTAATGTCATCTCCAAATCTCTCAACTGTTCGTAGTTTATCTGCTAAAGCTCTCGATTTTGGATCAACCCCATTCCTAAAAGACTGGAACTTTTATGGACAAAACCCATCACAATCCTCTGACAAAGTTTTGAATTTTTCGGACAGAACAATAACACAATCTGTATTTTTGCACAAACCCATCTGAAACCTCTGCGGAAGTTTTTGATTTTTTCATGAACAGATCAAACAGTACAATCTTGAAGCTATTGGATAAAGAAGAGTTTTCTTGTTAAGTTTTTATTTCTTCTTTTTGTGGTAATGTGATTCGATTGGTGAAGAACTTGTAAGAATTGAAATCGGTAATGTGACATATCCAAATCCGAAAACCACACGTTTTGTATATCCAAAAGTCTCATTATGCACCAAATATTTATTATTTAATGTATTTTTTTTTTTCATTTTCCTGTCGGTTTTTTTAATTACACGATTCCGGAACAATATTTTGTAAGTTTGTGTCCTGCTTTGTTTTATTTTGTGGATCTGGTCAGAGACAGAAAACAGTTAAATATACGTGGAAAAGACGTGTAATAACAGAAGAGAGAGAAAATCTCTAAATGTGATTACTACTAAATGCAAACGTCATTTTCTTAGACTAAAGATTTTCAAATTTCAGGCGCAAGTTGCCTGAAAAATAACAAATATTCGGCGAAAATATGAAGGAAAAAAACAGAAGAAATTTCGGACAGTCCATTATTCAATTCATAGAGCCCAATAATAGAAGAGAGTGGGATCCATATCTGAATTTCCACTTTTTACATTTTTTTTTTCTGGGATAGAATCTTAGATTCTTATTTACAAATTTCGGTTCTCTCTGATTCTCATCTCTTTATTTCTCTCTCTCACTTTCTATCTTTCTCTCTCATCTGTTCATAATCTTCATCGCCGACACATTTCTTAAGTGGTTGTTTCCTCACTCTTCTTCTTATTTCTATTCTTGTTCCTTGTTTTTTTCCTCTTTGTTTTCTGCATCATCGAAACACTTTATGATATTTCAACGAAACCCACATCTATCTATAGTTTCATAATCAAAATCAGTTTTGTTTTTACATGTCATCTCCCCAAAATCTCTGGATTTTGGCTAAAGCTCGCTTTTGGACCAACCCCTTGTCAAAGACTGGATTTTTTGGACAAACCCATCTGAATCCTCTGCTAAAGTTTTCATTTTTATCGACAGTGCTATGAGAAAGTCTTGAAGCTGTTGAAGCTATTGGCTAAACAGTTTCTTCAAAAGCTCTCACTTTTGTATCAATCATGTGCCAAAGACTGTAATTTTGCACAAATCCATCTGAAGCCTCTGCTAAAGTTTTGATTTTTTATGAACAGAGCATCAATACAATCTTGGAGTTGAAGCCATTGGAACAAGAGCTCTCTTGATAAGTTTTGTCTGCGTTTTTATGGTACTGTGGTTTGATGGGTGAACAGCCAATTTCAAGTAATGAAAATGGTGCTGAGACCAAACCAAACCCAAAAATCACGCTTTTGCCACTCATATTTCTGATATTCTATGAAGTATCTGGCGGTCCATTTGGTGTGGAAGATTCCGTGAAATCGGGTGGCGGTCCGTTGCTAGCACTTTTAGGGTTCTTGATTTTTCCATTGATTTGGAGCTTACCTGAGGCTCTGATAACTGCTGAGCTCGCTACAAGCTTCCCCGAAAATGGCGGTTATGTGGTTTGGATCTCTTCGGCTTTCGGACAGTTTTGGGGATTCCAAGAAGGGTTTTGGAAATGGTTTAGTGGTGTTATGGACAATGCTTTGTATCCAGTGTTGTTCCTAGATTACCTCAAGCATTCGTTCCCGGTGTTTAACCTCGTGGCTGCTCGGGTTCCCGCTTTGTTAGGGATCACGTTTTCGCTAACGTATTTGAACTATAGAGGACTGCATATCGTTGGGTTTTCAACCGTACTTCTTGCGATTTTCTCGCTTTGTCCGTTCATCGTAATGGCTCTGCTTTCCGTTCCCCGAATCAGTCCGAAGCGATGGCTAGTCGTGGATTTTCGCAAGGTCAATTGGAGAGGGTACTTCAACACCATGTTTTGGAATCTGAACTACTGGGACAAAGCAAGTACTCTTGCAGGAGAAGTTGAAAACCCGGGCCAGACGTTTCCAAAGGCGCTGTTCGGGGCAGTTTTGTTGGTTATCTGTTCGTATTTGGTACCGCTCATGGCAGGGACTGGCGCTCTCGCATCGTCTTTATCGGATGAGTGGAGCGACGGGTACTTTGCTCAAGTTGGGATGGCGATAGGAGGTGTTGGCCTCAGTGTATGGATACAAGCTGCTTCTGCATTGTCAAACTTAGGATTATTCGAAGCCGAGATGAGTAGCGACGCATTCCAGCTTCTCGGAATGAGCGAGATTGGTATGCTCCCTGCATTTTTTGCCCGCAGGTTAGTCAATCTACAGAGTTCTCCCTTTTTAGGAGACATTATCTTGGTTTTGGATTATATCTCCCCTTTTTTTTACTGTTATTTTGTTTCCTCTAGATTTGTGTTTCAGTAAATTGTTCCTCATTCTAATGAACAACACAGAGAAATTGTATCTCGATATTTCGATATCCTCTCATTTTTCACGGATTAAACTCATAATGGGCAGGTCGAAACACGGGACTCCGACCATAAGCATTCTCTGTTCAGCAACCGGAGTCATATTCCTGTCATGGCTGAGCTTCCAAGAGATTATAGAGTTTCTGAATTTCTTGTATGCCTTGGGAATGCTTCTCGAGTTCGCGGCCTTTGTAAGGCTAAGGATCAAGAAAGCCGACCTTCACCGGCCTTACAAAGTTCCGTTAGGCACTTGTGGAGTCGCATTACTCTGCTTTCCTCCTTCACTGCTTCTCATTCTAGTGATGGTTTTGGCTTCCCTGAGGACGTTTTTAGTCAGCGGGGCCGTGATTCTTTTCGGGTTCTGTTTGTATCCTTTCTTGTCGCTCGTGAAGGAAAAGAGATGGCTGAGTTTCATCCCCGAGGAGGAAATGATACTGACTTCAGATAAGTCATCATCACAGCCATCGGATCCGGGCTTGGGAGATGAGTCTGCTTGCCTTCTCCCGTGATCTGTACCAACGACGCATGACGCAAATTATTGTATAGCCTGTAGAATTGATATGAAATTATTTCCATCTCCCGTGAAATGTGTAGCAAAAGGGTGGCTTGTGACCTGTATAAGAATTCGTTATGGTGATTTGTTGCAGCTATAAGCTATACTCTCATGAGGTATTCTCGTTCAAGATGGGGATCTGCATCGTTTTGTGGGTGTCGGATAGATAAAAACCCGACTGACTTACCTTTTCTCGTCCGAGTTTTGACAGATGCGGTCCGATAGAATTGCTTGTCGTCTCGTCAGCAACTGTAACGGTATCATCATCCAGCTATTCGCTTACCTCACCACTATCATGCTTTCGAATTCATGCGACGAAAAACAATGGTTAGTCAATAGTAAAGAGAGAAGGAAATTTGTGGTAAATGCCGTTCGAAAGACGATTCAGAGTCTCGAATACGAGAGTAAATTGGCTCAAAGTCACTCCGAAACACGCTATCTTACGTTGGATGTTGTACCACGACCGTTGTCCCGCCAAGGATAGAGTAATATCATCGATCCGCATTGTTTATTCTGCAAATGAAGGGTCGAACCAAGAAACCATCTCTTCTTCGATCGATCCATACTAAATCAAGCCATGCGACGACTCGGACCCCTACCCAATGGTCCGACATCCTACCATGTTATCTAAGTACATAACTGAGGTGGGCGACAATGATCCTATGGCAAATACTCATTTACACAATTTGGATGAATAGCAGCCATATTATCTTCAAGTAGTCTATCTTTGTATATAATTTTTAAAAGAAGAAACTATTTAATAGGCTACTAAATCTAACAAATTTTAAATAAAAAATCATTTATATTTTTTTCAACATTTTTAAATTTAGTATTTAGAAGCCGAAGATAATGTCCCTTTACAGATTAAATAATATTAGTTATGATCATTGATATATTAGCCGATAGATTCCACAATACACACAACAATTTATTGTATATAAAAAAGGAAGCAAAATATTATAATTCTCAAGTTTGATATAGTTTCTTTAAACAAGAGATCTCATCCGTACAAGCATATATACGGACACAAAACAAACATGCTCTGTTAGGTTAGACACTAATTCGTTTATACAACTGTAACACAACGATGCAACAAAATATAAAAAAATACTAATATAAATATAAAAAGAATAAAGTTTTGTTTGATACTTGGCCTCTACAGCTGGCGCATACTCTAGAGTCAGATGATTCGGTTATAGCGAAACAAAAAGATCCAACACAAACAGCCAAACCAACATTGTCTGAAAAAGGACACAAAGACAAACGAACAATTGACCAACTTTGAAGCAGCAATTTCCCTTCAATTGCTGCCACAAATCTGCGGGTTGAACCAAAAAAATAAATGAAAGAACTCTCTCATTCTTTGAGATGAGAGTAAAAAAGACGAGATTTGAATTCCAAGAATCATTGGTTATGAATAAAAACCTAAAACCCTGATTCCTAATCTCTGAACAGCTAAAAGGGTTATAAATGGATGAAGGATACTCATCGCCTTATGAACAATTGTCGACTGCACCTGATCCTTCACGGGTTAGACATCGATATGCCAAAGGCGGTTGTCATGGCTCTCGTCGTCATGTGCTGCAACTTTGGCCGTTTGAGCTGCGGCCAATGTGATCACATTCTTCCCTCTTTTGTCACGAGGGAACTCGCAGGCTTCAGCCGACAGACCCGGCCTTAGATCAGCCGGTGGGATAAAGCAATCAACAGAGAGACCCGGAACATTAAACGCTACTTCTTCAATGATCCAGCTTTCTTCCATCCTAGTTCTTGTATGGCTCATTGCCACCTCCCCGAATCTGAAGAGGGTAGCAACCGTGTGTCCTGAGTGAGCTATCATGATCCCTTCAACAGATCTGTAATTGTTTAATGACGAGTTGATTGTTGTCTCCCAATAAACTGTATCTCCTCCATTGGATTGGATCCGGATGAGGTGTGAATCCTCAATGTGAACGAGAAGTCCCGTTTTCTGGCTGAAGTAGCCGAAAAGGACGTGCCTTATGATCTCAGCGGGTCCTTCACTCCTGGCCTTTATCGTTTCAGGGTCAGTGGACAGTTTCAGAATAAAGCAATCTTCACCATTCATCTTCTTCTCTCCAATGCACTTTGCACCCGCAAACAGGGCAGCAGTAGTTCTTGGATCAAGCCCCTGACTCACACCCAAAAACAACCAGGCTTAGATTCAGCGAATCATTCACAATCTCATCGATCTACGACAGAAAACAGTGAGTAACAATGTATTCGAAACCCGGGTTTCACCTGAAGTGCACGACGAAGGGGTCTAATGGGTCCTTTTGCGGGATGAGAACCGAGCCAAGGGGTATGCCGCCACACGAGTTTGCCATTGCAGCCTGCGTGAACCTTACTGCCACCTACTGCAAGCTCGACATACCACTTGTCTGGATACATCTGCCAGAGGACGAAACCTCCAGATTCCGCCTTTGATGGGTTTCTGTTTCTCACTGTTTTTGTGGAGGTTTCGACCTCCGAAGTTATCATCTTGAGCTTCCCCATTGCGTAAGCGTTTTTAATGGAGTTTTGGAGCTTCTGACCACCGGAAGCCGCCGTATACTGTTGAAGAATGTACTGAGCAGATGATGTCTCCTACAAAAAATACACATTGCCGGAGAAGAATTATGTAAACGAGACGCAAAGAATCTTCAAAATCAGACGACACAAAATCAAAGGAAAAAAAGGGAAGAGCCAATAATTTAATTTACCAAAAAAGGGAAATAATTTAATAAAAAAATATAGGGCATCTACATCAGGAAGAAGAATAGGAACCGTCCCAAATATTCGGAAGACAACTTCAATATTCCGATTTTGATATATCAAATCCCACCAACCAACCAGAAGTCGTAGAAAAAGGAAAATGATTGAAAAAATGACGACTAGCACTTCAAAATCACAACGCAGAGCCTGATTCACGGAGATCTAAGCTTGAACTGAAGTTGGCTCCATAATGTAAAATATGATTAACTACTAGAACTTGTGAAAACTCAGGCCCAGAAGCATTTTACAGATAATCAATGAGAAAAATCCGAGCTCGGATCGTGGTAACAGTGAGAATCACATGAGGAACAAGGGAGACTAACAATAGGTGTATCTTTGATGTTCAGGTGAGGCAAAGGATCGGAAAAGGAGACGTGAAGAGGAGCCAAAGGAGCGCCCATGACGCCGAGAAGCAACCTCAGATCATACCTCCGGTAAGCCTCCATGGCCGCAACGGACGGAGCTCGAGAAAGCTGTCCTTTGACCCAGTGACCCAAACCCAACCCAAGTCGCTTCGGATCCAGAACTTCATATCCTCCTCCGCCTTCATCCGGATCCGGGCCCTCCATTACCGGTCTCAAGGTCCCGGATCCTCCGATCAAATGCTCCGGTTGCGCCAGGTAGTATCCGTCACTCTTTCTCCGCCATAAAAGATTCAACATCGATGAACCTGACCGAGCGGGGCTAGCGGAGCGAGACCGTGATCTCGAACGTGACGGCGAGAGTCCCCTCGCAACTTCCTCTCTGAGGGCAGAGAAAAACCCTTGTTTCGTCTCCATTTCCGAGTGCTATACTCCTCTTCGTCCAGTGACGAGAGTAAGAAAACCCTGTTAACCGGAGAGGAAAGAAAGAGAGAAACGCCGGAGGGAGCTGAGTTGCAGAGGAGAAGAAGAGTCAGAGTTTCCATCTTAAGAGAGAGAAAGCGGAGAGGTCGAAGTACCATTTTGCCCTCTACTTATTACTACAATTACGATTTTAGAAAGTTCACGCGCCTAAGAGAGGGTTAAGACGCATAAAGTATAACTCTCGGAGGCATGATGTTTTGTTTGCATGGTACGCCGTTACGGGATGTGGGCATCCGTTTTTAATGTTTTTACATTACCGTTAAGTCTTGAGACAAAAACAAAAGAACAAATTGTTTAAAGAAACAAGGGCCGTTAAGTCACTGTGCAAAAAGTAACTTGTGGGATTTGAGGGGTTGTAACTTTTAATCACATCGGGCAAAAAAAAATGCGTTAATCAGACTGATTACAAAGATATCCCAAAGGGTCAAAATGGTTGCTTGTAAGAGCCAGCGTTAGTAGCGGTTACATAGTACTAACCAGTACCCAATTAAATATATAGTAGGGGGCAAAATATAATTTTATCATATGAATAAACATAATTAATAGGGGATATTTTATGGAGTAATTTTGTTCAGAAATTTACGAAATTAGCATTATTTAATTGGATGAGTGGAGCATGTGATCCCACATAAATACGGGTGTTCCGAGAGTGGCTTCCTCTGGTCTTGAACAGAGAGGTGTATACTCCTCGTCGTCTTATCAACTGTCTTCCGGCTTAGACTGGTTCCAGAATATGCATTTGTTCCGTTCACACCATTTCTCCTAGTTTGGATATGGTTGATATGTTCCTTTTTAGGTAATTTCTAGGACACTTGATCCAATCCTTTTGTTCAGATCATCAGAAAAACTATCCACCAAACATAAAGAGACACAAGTTTCGAAACGAAATAAAAAAACATCATGAAACAAGATAAGGGAAAAAAAAAAGCTTAGATGATGTTTTGAGCGTCACAATCTTCTTCTCATATTTATGAATGATCCACGTTGTTATATCTTGATCATAAAGATGAAAAACTAAAGAAAATAGATCTAAAACTGAAAAGAAAGTGGTAGAAGACATCCTTCTAAGGTTGGCTTTTATAATTGTGTGTTTTTAGACCGAAAATAATAGGTCTGTCGCAAACGTTGGACCAAAACTCTCGCCCAAACGTTCCAATGCTCGGGTCGAGCAAAATTCGATCGAAGTGAAATTCTAGCATCTAGTCCGACTTGGACCAAGTCTCTGAAATTTATTCGGGCTTTGTTGCTTCTTTTGGACCAAACGGACCGATTCATACTTCTCGTCTTTCATCCCGTTTGCTCTGAGTTTCTTATTTCCACGTCTTTGGTGCCAAGAAATGTCCGTTTACCTTTTCAAATACCAAAGAGATATATAAATAAACATAAATGGAAGCCTAACATGATCTAAAGTGCCTAAAAATATGTCAAAACTATGCAAAAACATCACACAAACCATCTGAAAATATAGAAAGAAAGTGTCCGGATTTTAATGTGTGGTCATACGCATGGTTCAGAATGAACACAGACATATCAATACCAATGGCAATTGACAGAGGCATTGCTTGACCGGAAATGTGCTCCTCTAAGTGTTTAGGCTTTTTTCTTCTTTATACTTTATAAGTATATATGAATGAGAAATAATCTTAAACATTTCTTCTTTGTATTTTATTCCTTGTGTTTTTGTTGTGATGAAAACAACTCAAATTCTAGAAACACTTAATAATATCACAAAATTAATTTAGTGTAACTTTGAACACAAATCCCTAGAATGACCACAAGTTTATGTTCCAACAGCTCCCACAAAGGACATGACACAACATTTTACGCTTATTTCGGTTTACAGGTACATTAATAACTCTTGAAACAAAAACAAAAGCACGCAAAAAAGCAACAAAACAAGAGAAGCAAGAACCCTAGACAACTCATCTTCTACTGATATTATTATTTGCTAAGCGGATCATGTGAGAGTGATTAAGGGCACTTAGGTCTGCCCTTGCTGCTCATCTTGTCCCTGTAACAAGGGCACTCGTGTTTGTGGCCATAAGTCCCTGAAGGAACACATTTGCACTCTCTGCAACATATCCCACAGTACTTGAGGCATCTGTCTTGAAACCCTGCCTTTGCACACCTCCCGTTGCACCTCTTCCCACAATATGCATCCAAGTACCCTCCTCTTCCTCCTCCTACTCTACCTTCATCAAACTCAACAGAAATAATTGTGTATGAAAAACATAGAAATTATCAAAGATTCAGTGGGTTGATGCATATATATGCATGCATGTGTGTGACAGTGTGTGTATATATACTTATCATGCGCATGTATAATGCATACATATACATATATGTGTATAATCTGGTTATGCTTTGGAATCGTTGGATTGGAACTCTCTAATGGTTTATAATGTATCCTATTATATATCTAAGGACCCATGTTTCTATTTTGTAACTCAAAAGACTTGGTTTTAAAATCACATTTGCATGTCAGTAAAATCTTATACACGTTTGCAATTTACTAAGAGCTCTTGAAATGTCTAAACGACCACTTATAAATCATTATCCATGCATGAAACCAAATTAGACATTTTCTTGAATGTAAACGCTCATACCCTGCAGCCATGACAAGAGAAGTCACGAAGAACACGAGGAGAGTGAAGAGGAGCAAAGTATAAGAGCTTTCGAGTTTCATTTTGTTTGAGCAAATGTTGTAAGAGAAGATATAGGGTTTTATATATCATCGATGCATAAAAGGCTTAATTTGAAGCTAAATTACACATTTACTTGAATGTAAAAGCTCATACCTGCAGCCGCCAGCGTGGAAGAGAGGAAGAACACAAAGAGGAGAGTGAAGAGGAACAAAGCATGAGCTTTGCGAGTCATTTTGTTTCGTGAAAATATCTAAACCCTAAAAATTTCAAAGTTGCAGAAGAGAGAGGAGCTATGTCACATAGCCTATGTGTGTGTGTGCGCTTGAGCCAAATGCGGTAATAGAAGAGATATGGTTTCATTTACACGAAGCCGCCAATTTCCACCGCTTATCAGCTGGTTACGTGGGTTGTCTTCACTCGCCATCAATTCAGTGCCTTGTAACTTTGATTCTTGGTATGGGTGCAATGTCGATATGGTCGATGACATCTATTTAAATACTGAAAAAAAATTGTATATTGTCACTTTTTAAAAGGAAAAACACCTGTTGCTTTTGGGATGATTAAAATAGATTTTATTTTATATTTTGTATTCTTTTTTTTTTTGGTTAAATGTGAAATATATTAGTAAGAAGTATAATTACATGTCGGTGTTAACCGAATACAAAAGATAGGGTACCCATGATAAGTGAAAAAGAAACACAAAAACCCCATGTTGGGGAGATGATAAAAGACATCTAAACTAGGACTTCATTACGAGAGTATGCCTCAAGAAAATACCAATCTTTATTTCGATTTATTTTATATTCCATTGGTTCTTATTCTCCTTGTTGTACATAGTCGTGGGAGATAAGGTGATTTGCATCTTGTCTCGAAGCGAGTCAAGTGTCATTTTTTTAGGACGGAATGAAAACTTTCGAGTCCCTTTATATATATATATATTAGAAGAGAAGATAAAAATATTAGTATTACATATGCGATAATGAATTTCTTATTGATTATCATTTGAGAATACAAGAGATATATACACATGAATCAGTTTGAAAATAGCTTAAGTTAAGGGAATAATAGGACACATAATCAGGGATTTGATACGTGTAGTATCTAGGGTAATATATAGTAATATCTAGAAGATATACTTCCTTTATGCCCCCGCAAGATGAGGCTCCCGTGCGAGACCAATCTTGACTCGGAGTAGATCGAAACGTCCTCGAGCGAGCGGTTTGGTTAAGGCATCAGCCAGCTGATCATGAGAGGATACATGTGAGACACGGAGCTGACCTTCTTGCACTAAGCCTCGGATGAAGTGATAATCAATTGCGACATGCTTCATGCGTGAGTGGAACACGGGATTGGCACAAAGATAGGTGGCCCCGACATTGTCACAGAAAATAACCGGTGGTGTAGTGTAGATGATGCCGAGTTCAGTAAGTAGAGAGGAGACCCATCGGACCTCGGAGGCTGTCGAGGCTACAGATTTGTATTCCGATTCGGTGGATGATCGAGCCGCGATTCGCTGTTTCTTTGATGACCATGATATAGGGTGGCTGCCAAAGTAAACTATGTGAGCACTTGTAGACGTAAAATCATCATGGTTACCTCCTCAATCGGCATCGGAAAATGCATGTAAGGTCGGTGTATTTTTGGTGGACATGAACACGCCGAGAGATGACGAGCCAGCAAGGTAGCGGAGGACACGTTTCACCGCTTGCCAATGCTTAGTTGTCGGGCGATGCATGAACTGAGACAACTTATTCACAGCATATGCAATGTCGGGTCTTGTGAAGTGTAGATACTGGAGGCTGCCTACCACATTTCTATACTCCGACGGATCATCTAATGGTGAGCCCGCCGTCAATGTCAAGGAGGTGGTAGAGGCCATCGGTGTAGCCACAGGCTTGGACGTCAACATGTTTGTCCGAGTCAGGAGGTCCACAATATACCTCTTTTGAGTGAGATAGAGACCCTTAGATGATCGACTAACCTCAACTCCAAAAAAGAATGACAAGTTTCCCAAGTCTTTGATGGAGAACCTATCCGAAAGGAGCTGTATAAAGTCTTGACAGCGGCGATGATCATTACCGGTGAGGACAAGATCATCAACGTACACCAAGAGGTAGACAGTGACATCGCCTTCTCGGAAGATGAATAAAGACGTGTCTGCAAGAGAATTTATAAAGCCCAAAGACAGCAAGAAGAGTCGGAGTTCGTTATACCATGCCCTTGGAGCTTGTTTTAAGCCATACAATGCTTTGTGAAGCTTACAAACATAGTTTGGTCGATCGTTGTCTACAAAGCCCGGGGGTTGCATCATGAAGACATCATCATGAAGCCGACCTTGCAAGAAAGCATTATTAACATCGAGTTGGCGGAGAGACCAACCTCGGGTGATGGCAATACTGAGCACAAGGCGAATGGTAGCCGGTTTAATAACCGGACTAAAAGTGTCACGATAGTCAATCCTCGGCCGTTGATGGAAGCCCTTAGCCACTAGCCGTGCCTTGCACCTGTCAAAGGAACCATCAGCATGCCTTTTAGTTTTGAAGACCCATTTACAACCAACAATATTGTAGGAGGAATGAGGGGGAACTAAATCCCAAGTGCCATTCTTCACAAGGGCATCAAATTCCGCCGTCATTGCTTGTCTCCAAGGCGGTGACTTGAGAGCTTGAGAGAGGTCGTCGGTTCAAGCTCCGGTGATAGGGTGGTGGTTAGGGTATTGGCAAATTTAGTGTTTGGTTTTGTGATTTTGTTTTTGGCTCGGGTCATCATCTGATGTCGGTTTCTTGGTGGGGAAGGTATTGGTGCAATCGGTTCGACGGTGGTCAGAGAAGGTAAGGTATCGTCATTATGGGGAGTATGATCTGTAGGGTTGGATGGTGAGGTGGTACAAGATGGAGAGGTCGAAGGTGCAGAGAGTAGGGGCGGTGCTAAGGTGGGTATATGAGGTACCGAGGGAGCTGGTGAAGGTATTGTTGCATCAGGTTCGGATTGCGGTGAAGAACTTGCTCGCGAGGGCTCCGACGGCGCAGATGACGTGATGAGTGTTCGACCAGGAACTAGGGAGTGTGAGGGAGAGGAAGACAAGATCGGATAGTCATCGGAGGAGGAAGTGGCCGAGGTAGACACTAACCGAGTGAATGGAAAGGTGGACTCGAAGAAGGTGACATGTCAGATGTGTATACTCGACCGGTAGGTGGATCTAGGCAGAGAAATGCGCTTTGGCTCAAGGAGTAGCCAACAAAGACGCATGGTGTGGATCTAGGATCAAGCTTATGTCGAGAATACGGACGTAACCAAGGAAAACATAAGCACCCGAATGTGCGAAGCTTTGTATAGTTTGGTGGTGAGTTAAAGAGAAGTTGGTATGGCGATTTTTGGTCTAGATTTTTGGTAGGGAGACGGTTTATAAGGTAGACCGCAGTGGGAAAAGAAAACGTCCAATATGAGAGAGGGATTGATGCTTGAGTAAGAAGTGTAAGACCCGTTTCCATAATATGTCGGTGTTTTCTTTCGGAAACACCATTATGTTCGGGCGTATGGGGAGGTGTGGTAAGATGAGTAATACCATGGTTTGAGAGGAAGGAGCGGAGAGCTAAGTATTCTCCTCCGTTGTCCGAATAGAGTGTTTTAATGGATGGACCAAAACGAGTTTCGACTAAGGCTTTGAAACGAGGAAATATGTCAAGAACTTGAGACTTACGCTTGATGGGATAAAACCATGTATAACGTGTGAAATGATCAACGAGTATGACATAGTATTTAAAACCATCAAACGAAACAATAGGTGAGGTCCATACATCGGAGAAGACAATCTCAAGAGGGCAAGACGATTTTAAAGTGGACGTGGAAAACGGAAGTTTGTGACTTTTATTAATAGGACAAGACTCACATATGACAGACTTGGACGGAGAAGATGAGAGCGGAAGGGAGAAAAGCGAAATAGTTTTATTCAAGACATCACTCGACGGGTGTCCTAACCTAGAGTGCCACTCGTTAAGGGTGGTTTTTATTGAAGAAAAAGCATTAGGGGACGAAGACAAGGAACCACTAGCATTGGTCGGCCACTCATACACGCCATTTTTAAGCAATCCGGTTGTGAGCGGTGCCCCCGTGGCGAGATCCTTCACCTGGAAATGCAATGGGAAAAATTCAACGGAAACCTTGTTAGAGGTGCATAGTTGATGTATAGAAATAAGATTTTTGCATAAGGAGGGTACACAAAGAACATTGGTGAGGGAGAAAGGGTGAGAGTTAGATGGTAAGGATAAAGAACCGGTGTGGGCGATGGAGTGTTCCGAGCCGTCTCCAAGCTGTACATCCTCACCGCCATTGTACGGAGAGTGAAGCGCAAGGTTGTCGAGATCTGAAGTAATGTGATGAGAAGCTCCAAAATCTAGGAGCCAAGTCGGAGGAGAAGGTGACGGAGAGAGCACCGTGTTGTGTACTCGAGCAGGCCAGGAGGCAGCATTGGTTGGCTGCGATGTCGGGCTCGGGTAAATACCAGCCGAGGATCGGAAAAGATGGCAGCGTTTGGCACTGTGGCCTTGGGCACCACAGAGCTGACACTTTCCTTGGTATCCTTGAGTCGAGCGGCGTGGACGAGAGCCAAATGTGTCCAAGCCATGTTTGGGTGACTGTTGGTAATGTGGGCGCTGAGTGTGGCCCGTAAACCGGGTCTGCGTGTTGTTTGCAGTAATCGGAAGAATAGAGGCAGCAGCATCGGAGATGGTGATGTCAGATTCGTGGTTGAGAAGCTTCTCGTGGAGTTCCACGAAGGAGATGGGGAAATCTCTTGCATTAATAGCATCTTTTACCGGTTTAAACTCCTCGCCTAAGCCACCAAGAACAAGATCGACAAGATCTTCGTGGTCAAGTGATTTTCCAAGCAAGGCAAGCTCGTCACCTTTGATCTTGAAAAAGTGCATATAGTCGTCTATGGATTTGCTTCCTTTGACAAACCGACGCATATTCTCCTTAATTTGCTTGATGTGTCCTCGACTCGATCTGCCATAAGTAGAAGCCAGCGTATTCCACGCTTCACTGGTTGTTGTCGAACGAGCAATTAGGGCCTGGCAAGAGAGCGAGATGGATCCGAGAAGGGCTGAGAAGATGAGCCTATCTTGTCTGAACCAAGGACCGTAGGCAGGGTTGGTGACAGCAATGTTGTTCTCCAAGATCGTGGGAGAAACAACTTTGGTGGGATCCAGGAACTCCTCCAGATTATATCCTTGCACCAAGGAGCGGATTTGTAGACTCCAAGTCAGATAGTTGGTTGGCGAGAGTTTGGTGACGTTTGTCACGTTGATATTGATGAGAGGAGCGTCGGTATTGTTCGGGTTGTGGGGAAGAACGGTATCCATGGTTGGAGAAGGGGTAGTTTGCGGTGGTGATGCGTCAGAGCTGACAGCATCAGTCGACATTGTGGTTGGCTAGGGTTCGTGAGAAGAAGAAGAGGGGATTAAAAAAAAAAAAATAGGAGCAAGAGTTGTCGATGAGACTCAATGCTCTGATACCATATGCGATAATGAATTTCTTATTGATTATCATTTGAGAATACAAGAGATATATACACATGAATCAGTTTAAAAATAGCTGAAGTTAAGGGAATAATAGGACACATAATCAGGGATTTGATACGTGTAGTATCTAGGGTAATATATAGTAATATCTAGAAGATATACTTCCTTTATTACAAAGATAGAGAATCTTACATCTACTGTATCATTTAAATAAAGAGCTTCCTTACTCGTAAATTGTTGTGAAATCGGAAGAATATACGCAATCCGAAATATAAGATCGTTAGTTTGAATTCAATCATTTAATTTAAAAAAGTAGAGAATAGAATTTTTTTTTTTATAATCTGAAACTATATCTCATAAAGTATGAGAAAAATACAGGTGAATGCTTTCCCAAGTGGTTCTCTTATTCTTTTCTTTAAAAAAATTGTATATTTACAAAATTACAAATGATCTATTATATATAATTCGAAATTATTAGTTATGTAAACAGTAAATCGATATAAACAGTATGTCGATATAAATAGTAATCCAATTACAAACACTAACCGTAGGCTCTATCATAAATATTTTATTTATAACATTTAGCAGCTTTTTAATCCGTGTGAGAAACGGGTCGATGAGCCAGCTGGTGTAACAAGCTACCATGAGCTAGCTACAAAACAAAACTTTCTCATAATGTTATAAATCGGCTTAATTGTATCACATAAGATTAAAAATTAAACAAAAATTTCTCAAATTGCGCACCGAAAGATTAAAACGAAAACCATTGAAGCATTCCTTGAGAACAAAGAGAGCAAGCAAGCACAAGGAACATAAAAGAAACAAGACTGTGTAGATAGATTTTGGAAGAAAGAAAAAACAGAACAAAAACACACTTTGAATCCCATCCTTCAGAACCAAACGGAACACGCATACATACACAAGCATATATATATATATATATGCTTGTGTATGTATGTATATACGGCTGCGTATTGTGTCTCCTGAAAGATCATTCGTTCAGCTTGCTTCCTGCGACGTCGACGACGAATCTATAGCGGACATCGTTCTTTTCGAGACGGTGAAAAGCGGTGTTCACTTCTTCCATCTTCACGACCTCTATCGTCGACGTTAAGCCTTTCTCTTTGCAGAATTGGAGCATTTCCTCCGTCTCCTTCATGCTCCCTATGAAGCTCCCTGATATCACTTTCCTCCCTGTGTGTTCACCATTCCATGTTTCAGACATTTTAGGTCTAAATTTCGATTTCTGTCGCGTGCGCTAGCTATGTAGGGATGGAGGGGAGAAGAGAGAGACTGACCGAGCATGACGACGGGGGTCATGAATTGGAGAGGAGTGTTAATGACACCCATCAAGATCAACTTCCCATCGAGTTTGAGCAACGACAGGTAGGGTTCGAGGGGGTGAAACACGGGCACCGTGTCGATGATGTAATCCAAAGAATCGCTCACTCTCTGCATCGCCGCCTCGTCAGAGCTCACGACGTAATCATCGGCTCCAAGATGGTCGAGGGCTTCCTCTTTCTTCTTGTCCGATGAGCTTATCACGGTCACGTGGTGACCCATTGCTTTGGCGATCTTTACGCCCATGTGGCCGACACCTCCTAGACCCAAAATGCCGCCCCGGAGGCCGCTCCGTTTCAGCCCGAAGTGGCTGATAGGGCTGTAGACCGTCAAACCCGCGCAGAGGAGTGGGGCCGCCTGCTCGGCCGCCATCCCTTCGGGGATCTTGACCACGAACCTGAAAGCATCGAACAAAGCTTGAGTGGCAAGAAAGTGTTCTGTCTTCCGTTTAGCCAAAGAAACCATTTCTTGGATCAGATATCATAAAAAGTCCCAATAAAAAAAAACAAACTAAATGGAATAAAATAGACCCAAATCAAACCGAATCTAAACTTTCCCGACCCAAAGTGATGAGAAATCAGAATCGAATAAAACATGAAATAAATCTAATCTAATTCGAGCCAAATCATATTAAATAATTCCAATTCAAAGTTTGTTACCCATTATCTGAAGCCAAACGAAATTTAATATGTTTTTTTTTTGGGTAAAAAGAGAGGAAGAGAGAGGAGCATACTTCTGATGGACGATCATAGACTCAGCGAAACCGCCTTGAGTGGGTTTGCCGTCTGTGTAGACATCGTTGTAACTCCAAATCTTCTTGGAACAGTACTGTTCGAGATCTGAATTGCATGGTCGGCAGCTTCCGCAGCATCCAACGATCACGCCTACGCCCACTATATCTCCTACGGTGAACTTGCTCACACCCGATCCCACCTCCAACACCTCTCCTACCACCTCATGTCTATACAAAAAACAAGAAAAAAAGAAAGGGGTTTCATGTATTAATGGAAGATATTTTACATTTTCATTCAGTTTCATTTTTTATTATGAAAAAAATAGGAATTTGTTTAGGGAAAAAAGGAAATCAAAACTTTCTTAAAGAACAAGATTTTAGTATCAGCTGGACTTGATCATATTTCTATAAAAGAAAAATGTTAGATATTATTTTAAAAATAAATAAAAAATTTGTGTGGGATAACATGAATTTCAGAAAAAACAGAGAAATTAATAGATTCAATAGAAAGAAAATGAGAGAAGTACCCAGGAACCATGGGATAGTTAGACATGCCAAGGTCATTCTTGATCTGATGGATATCAGTATGACAAATCCCACAGCAGATCACTTTGATGTACACATCTTCCTCTCCAGTGTTTCTAATCCCCAACGCAAAAAATAAAATTAAAATTAGACCTTGAAACAAACAAATAAGATTTATTAAAAATAGAATAAAATTAGAAAATTACCTCAAAGTGTAATTGTAAGGAGATAAGATTCCAGATGGATCTCTTGCAGCCCATCCAATGGTCTTCTTCTCTCCCGCTTCAATGCTCCCCATCTCTCTCTCTCTCTCTCTCTCTCTCTCTCTCTCTCTCTCTGCTTTCAAGAATGAGAATTTGTGGTTCTACAGAGGAAGGACTGTATCTATATATATCTATATTAAAAGAAAACAATTATTTTTATTTTTTTCTTTTGGTTGTGTCTTTTTATGTGTAGTCTGACCAACCACACCTCCTGTTATTTGTCTGCTCGTGGCTGATGATTTGTGTATATACATATATATATGTATATATGTGCATGTGTAGTGATTATTACGTATATATATAAAAAGCAACCAGTTATGTATATAAAGTAATAAGATATATAGAGAGAGAGAGAGAGAAAGAGAGAGATTCTTTTTATTATTATTCATATAAATTTTTAAGTTATGTCTGAATGCAATTGATTCCAATATATATATATATAACTAATGGTATCTAAATGGGAAAGATATACGGCACCTCTACCTATGTGGATTATCTTCTATACAAAAATTAGTTATAAATTATTAGCTGTGTTGTTATTGGAAATATTAGTTAACTAACATTTATAAAAGATATGACACCTAATATGTATTATTTTTGGCGCAGAAATTATAATAACTTTTGATTAGGTGACGCTATGTAATATTCACTAACCTACTTATCTTATACTCGTAAAACTTTAAATATATCTGGTTTTTCATTATCGAATTTTGGAGTTATTATTTATTAACATATGATTATAAAGACATGAACTTATCCATAAACTTATCAATATTGGGAGAAATCTCACGGTGATGTATATAGAATTTAATGTTATTAAGGACAAAACAAATTAGAGTTTGGAAAATATAAATTAGAATAGAAATTTTCCTTTTAAATGCAATTATTACTATATCTTATAGGGCAATGATTTGAAGGATATGTGGGAAATATTGATTGAAATTTGTTTAAAACAAATATTCAATTCTAATTTGGCACAAATTAAAATCAAATCTAAAGGTTCTTTTTATTTTTTATTTTATCTAATTCAACCCTTTATCTCTAAAAATAAGAAAAAACTGTAAATCGAAACTAAGAAATCAACAAGTGAGGTCTTTTTTTATTTATGTATTTTGATTGTTAGTATTCATAACAATGATTTCTGTAATATTTCAATTGTAAGAAATCATAATATATAAATATATTAATTTAGAATTTCCCCAAAAAAAAAAAGCATCTTTATAAACAAAAGATAATTCTTGAAGAAACTAATTTTTATAAACGTATGTATTACATATATATATTATCGTGGTTTATAAGATCAAATTATACTATACGATAAAAACTAAACAGTGAGACTGTTCAATTTGAGGAAACGGTTTCCAATATGTATAATGGAAATAGAATTATATAATCAATTAAAAAAAACATTAAAAAAGAGAAGGTACTATAAAGTTTTAAAACATCGTATTCATTTCGTAAATGGAGTTCATATATTTAGTTCGATGTAATTTGTTTATATGTTTTCAAATCAAATATTCATATTATATTTATATGTATCAAATTCAAATGTAGAGTATAGTATAATTTAGTTGACAAACAAAATAATGATTAATAACAAAAATAAATAATTAGAAAAAAGGAATAATGGAGCAAAACATCAGTATCGGAGGAGGACATGTCAACAATGGAGTAGGTGAAGCCAAGTTGGTGAGGATTACATGCTTCGCTTTGATTGTACTTCTTAATTTCATCCATTTTGATTCCGCCACGTGGAATGCTTTGCCTAAAAACTCTTTATTTATTTTATTAATTTACACTTAATCTTTTTTTAATCTTTTTTTTTTGTAGGCACTGAGGCACAAACAGTGAAAGATCACTGCCATTGCAATTAGGGGTGTCCATTCGGTTCGATTGTTTTGGTTATTAATCGAACCGATCGATATATATATGAATCGAACCAAATCGATTAAAATTAAATAACCGTTTGTTTATGATTTTTTCAATCCGAAATAACCGAACTAGAAATAACCGTAAACTGAATAAATCGAACTTGAATTTGCCGAACTAAATAAACCGAATATAACCGTTTATTCACTTATGTATCACCAATTAATATATAATATATCTTAAATTTAATTAGAAAATTAGTGTAATAATATTGTTTTATAACTATTGTATATAACAAATCGATATATACATTTAAAATCTTTTATTTTGTTGTTTTTATGCCAAAATAAATTATGACCGATTAACCCGAATTGAAGCGTTGTTCTGCCCCTAATTGCAACTTCACAGACAAACTGGTAATCTTTATTTCTTAGGTAATGCTGGCATCATCATGCTGCTTAAAACTTTTCCTTAGTGGTGGAGGGATTTTAGTCAATCATATCTTTAAAATACGACCAAATTATTGAACGAGATGTTAATTTTCTACATCTATACATACAAAATAGTATTATAATAAAACACGACCATATTTTAAAAAACACAAACTTTAGAGTGGGAGCATTATAATAAAATTTATACATAATAAAATACGACCAAGTTTATTGTAATAAATTTTGTGATTTTTCAAATATTTCCTTTGCAACATAATAAAATCCTTATATATATGATTAAATTTAAAAATACAAACAAAAGTCTCCGTATACCAACATGTACAAACAATTAATATAACCTCTAACGACTAAATCGCGTGGATAAAAATATTTGGCGGAAAAAATATGCAGATTTCTCAATCGCAATTAATGATTGGTTTCTCAAGTCGCAGTAATATAAAGTCACAATTATATCAACTAATGATTCTATTTTTTTAAAAAATAAATAGTTTTAATTAAATTAAATATCAACCGAATCAAGTAAAAAATCGAATTAGTTTTTTTTTTTCATGAAACCAATGTAACCTATGATTAGTTTTAAAAATTAAAACCTTAAAACCAACCAAAATACAAATAATCAAATGTGAAATAAGATAAATTTTTCTAGGGTTGAGATTCTAAACAAAATTATGGTTGGTTCGACAGCGATAACTCAGATCCAATCTAGACTTAGTTTTTCAAGTAATGAAAATAGTACTCCATTAATTTAGTGATAGTTATATTAGTGTTCATTTGGATTCTATCTCCCTTGGAAATATAAATTGAAAAAAATGTAAAGTTTCTAGTTATAAAAATACTAAATTAATTTATTTAAATTAAGACCAACAATTACAAAAAACTTACAATAAGATTGGTGAATGAACATGAGTTTATATAGAAAAAAATTAAGTAAAAGAATTTGGGGTAGAATTAAAAGAGCTCAAAGAAAAATAGGTTCGTATAGCTTTAGAATATATATATATATTAGAGTGGTTAGATTACATAATTTAGTTGTTAACCTACTAACTATAATTCATAGAAAGAAGTAGTTTCAGATAGTGATATAATTTATGTCACCTTATAATCAAATTTAATTTTGAAAAACGAGTTGATATGATTTTTCTAAAATTAAGTCAATAAAATCTTGAATAAATATAAAATAATAAAAAATATTTCTTAAAAATAGTCTATTAAATAACCTAAATCCAATTAAAATTTAAATAGAATTTGGTTTAAGTGGAAAAATCGATAACTTATATCGATTGAAAATATAATAAAATAATCCAGCCGAAGAATAAGCGAAATCCAAAATATTCAACACCATTACACTAATTTACTTCAAATATTGTTTGGGTCGACTAGTTTTTTCTAATAAAATTATTGTACCACAATACATCACATCTTGGGTGGTTACATAAGTTGACTTTTATTCATTCAACTTTGAAAAAAAATACATGTTTAAATTCGATTTTTTTAATGTAATGAAAAAACATGTTTTTCAAACCGGTCAATCTTCAAGCTCAGTCCGCACAGAAAAGGCATACTCCGCAGTCGTTTTTGACCGACTTCGGCCCCCCCTCCGTTCCCACCGTCTCTAACTATGTGACTGTGGAGTCTCTTCATCAGCCGGGGCTAGTCTCGGATGACGCATCGTTCCAAAAAGGGTCCCGACAGTCCAATTTTTCACACGGAATCGACCAAAGTAAATGCTCCCTGGGAGACAAGACACAACGGCGATTCTCCTTCTAGGTTTCCCACAACAACTCCTGCAGTGAGGAAAAACATTGGTCTGAGGACAGCTATTAGATCTCTGACTCGTATAGCTGATCCAGAGATATCGGACACGGGCAGACTGAAAGTGCGCATTCCAAACTCGGCCGAAATCAAGATACAAGTCGACCTCACTTCCATCGCTGCACCCTAGATGCAACCGTTGCCAAGAAGTGGGTAATAAACAAGGACCGATAAAGTTGGAAGTCTGATTAGGTTCTAGCCCATCAATGACAACCTTTAGAACCAACAGTGAAGTCCCAAATCCAGAGATATTGTTACTATGCTCGGGCAAAATCTGAGCGATCATGCATTTTATGTCAGAATTTATCTCCTTCTTAGTCTGAGATAGTGGAGGAGTATATACTATATACCATCTCAACACAGTAGTATGTTTGATAACTCTTATCGTAGTGAAAGGGGCTTATTACATTTGAAGCTGAAAGGATTTATGATTCTTATGGTCATTAAAATCATAAGATTTTAGTCAAACTACTCCCACTTCTCCTAAACACTTCTATAAGATATGTTTTGATCATATTCATTAATTTGTTAATCTATGTATTTATTTAATTTTGTATTCGATTTGAGAGATAAACCAATGAATACATTTTTTAAAAGAAATTTTACATCGATATATCAAGATAACGACAAAACTTTTAATCGACAATATATCAGATTTTCAAGTTAACCTTTTATTTCTAGAATAAATTAATAGTAAAAAAATATTAGAATGTTATCCTAATTAGATATATCAGATAAAATATAAATATTTGATTAGAGAAATTTGTCAACCACGTGTTTATGATTTTCTAAAGTAGATATAAAATAAATTTAGATGATTTAATCTAGTTTGGTTTGACCAATATGATGATTGGTTAGAGTGTATATTAAATGATCGATTTGCATACTGTTATGAATTTAAAATTTAATGATCGATTTGAATAGATTTTAGAACTGTTCATTTATATGAAAG